TTCAGGCCAGTCAGAGGGGAGATGTTGTCAGGAAAAAAAAAAAAAAAAAAAAAGAGTTAAGGTTACAGAGATGGAGAAAGCTTGCCATCTCAGAGGAACTTAAAAAAAAATCTGTCTCAGGGCTGGAGAGATGGCTGAGCAGTTCAGAGCCCTGGCTGTTCTTGAAGAAGACCTGGGTTCAAATCCTAGCACCTACATGGCAGTTAACAACTGTCCATAGCTCCAGTTCCAGGGGATCTGATGTCCTCTTCTGTCCCCTGTGGGCACTACACAAAACCGGTGTACTAACACACAATCAGGCAATATATTCATATACATAAAATAAAAATAAATAAAAATTTTCAAAAATCTCAAGATCTATGCATTAGCATCTGTAAACTCCTTAATTATACATGTTAAGTACATGATTATTTTCTTTTGGACAAGGTTCTGCAAGAGGCATCAGCTCTAAAGAAGCAGCAAGAGAGAAAGACTTCTATGTCCTCTCTGAAACTTTGCTGGTGGAATAAAGGCTAAGGAGAAAACAGACAGAATGACACCAGAAACAGGAAGACTAGGAAAGGTTAGGAAAGAAACCAAGGAATGCAAATCTGGCCTTATACCTTTCTACCCCAGGAGGGTGAGAAAATGCACCTTAATTATTTCTTAATCCTATAGAGAAGTATGTACCCACATTTTGGGATTTATGACATTCAATTTGCTGAACTTTTTCTGTTTAGCTATTTCATCTCTTCATGACTATTACTTTAAAGGAAAGCTCTCTAAAGGAACAAGGGGGAGACTCATTAATTTTAGCACTTTTTAAAGGGCTTGGTAAAAATTTCTGACATTGTCTGAGGAAGCAAGTTTCCCCAAAGAGCTGCTACATAGAACAATTGCTCAGTGTCAGCATTTGTGAGGTTGTGAGGTCCTACTCTATGTTTCTGCTACAGTAGATCTTGGGCAGGGATCCAGGTGTTGCTTTTCTAACAGGTTTGCAGTGCTGCTGTTATGTGTTCCAATGCTTCATGTGTTAGAAGCTTGGTCTCCAGGGTTGTGATATGAAGTGGTGGAACCTGTAAGAGATGGGGCTTAGTGCTAGGTCCTTGTGGGTGCTGCCCTCTGAAGGAGGGATCTTATGAGAAAGAATTATTAGGGTCAAGTGACTTCTCTCTCCTCTGCTTCCTGTCCCACTATGCCATCTCTCCCTCTCACATGAGTCCCTGCATGTCACTCACAGTGATGGGATATAGCTAAGAGGATTCTCACCAGAGGCTGAATTGATGGGGCCATTGAATCTTGGACTTTCAAACTCCCACACTATGTACTGAATAATCACTTTTTCTTTATAATGTACTTAGATTTAGGTATTTTATGATAGTAACAGAAAATGGGCAAGTTTTTGGAAACTATAAACTGAGACACACTGACTTTAATGACACTTCTCTAACTTTCTGTTTTGGGTACTGAGCTTGAGGGGCCAGTGTCCTCCTCATTATTGCAAAATAATTGATATTAGCAATATTTAGCAAAATATTAATATTAGCAATATCAAGAATAACTGTATAATCACAATGAAGCCACAACTATGTAATAAAATATTATTACATTAAAATATGTGGATAAGAACTATGAATGCAACAAAGCAATGAATGAAGTTTTAGTGATGAACGGTGATAACTGATCGAGGCTTGCTGGGCTTGAAGCTAGCTTCATTATTTTTGACTTCTCTTGGGATCTATTGCTATCTGAAGAAGTTAAAGTAAGGAATTTTTATCTTTTTTGCTAATGTATTCAATGGATCTTTATATTGAACACTATCAGCATTAAGATTCTCAACATTAAAATAGCAAAAGCTGTTACCACACCTATTATTATTTCAGATAATTGATTTAAGTAGTAGAGGAAGTTTAAATTATGCATTCCCTGGGTTTTTAAGACAACATTAAGTATAAATTACGGGACCTTCTCAAGCATCAGAGCTTGTTTGTTATTCATGATTCTGTTTTCCTGCTTTCCAGTTCTATACAGCTCATGCATGTTAATGGCTTTAACATAGGATCACTCACCTTCTCCCACTCTGGGATCTAAGACCTTCTGGCCTCTGTCTGTCTGCCTGATTCCTTTTGACTGGCTTGATCTTTGCTTAGATTGGAATCTGTGGCAAATCATGCTTCTAATTCCCAGTTTGGTTCTAAACTAAACTCAACATTTCTTGTTATATGGCATTGTTACTCTCCTAGAAACATTTTTATAATTCCTTATTTTAGTCACCTTGGGCTTCTATAATAAAATGCCATGCACTGGGTGTATATGCACAACAGAAATTTATTTTTCACAGTTCTAGAACATGGGAAGTTTGTGATCAATGTGCTGGTAGATTTAAGGTCGGGTGACCTTATAATGTATGACTATGGTCTTCTCACAGCAATCTGATGTCATGGAAGATGCCAGGGATCTATCTCTCTCTGGCCTCTTTTATTAAGGATGCTACTCTGGTTTGAATGTGAAATATCTCCCATATTGTCAAGTTCGAACACTTGGTGGGTACTGTTGGGGAAAGTTGTGGACCCTGTAGGAGGTAGAGTCTCCTTGGAGGAAGTGAGTCACGAGGGGGCATGCCTTAAAGCTTTATAGGCAGGCCCTATTTCCTCTTCTTACTCTGCTTCCTGACTGCAGATCCAATGTGGCCTCAGCTCCTGCTTTGCTGCTATGCTTTCACCACAATGGACTGTGTTCTCTCCATTGCAAACCCCAATAAACAGCTCTTCCCTTAAGTTGTTTCTTGTCAGGTGTTGTGTCACAGCAAGGAGAAAAGTAACTAATACAGACAGTAATGCCATTCACATGCGGTCTACCCCCAAGAGCCAATCACTTCCCAAGGGCCCCATCTCCTAATACCGTCAAAGTCGGGGTGAAAAAATTTCAACAATGGATATGGGGAGTCATGCACATCTAGGCCATAGCAACCTCATAAGCCAAAAATAGTTCATAATGGTCCTACTTATTAAGTAACTAGGCATCAATAGCTTGGTAGTGGATTTTGTAGTGTTGTCACCAGATGCTGTGTTGTCTTCAAAAACAGAAAATTTTGTTGAGTTCTTTGTGTGCAAGGGAATACCTTGTGAACGACAGCTTTATACTCCATACCATTTCTATGTCCTTTTCAACTTCTTAGTGGGACACATTCACAATTTCTTGCCACACATAGGCCAGCAAAACATTCCACGGCATACACAAGTTAATGGCAATATTTATATTTATTTCTGCATCTCTTGGATAAAAACCATTTAAAGAATGTTTGGTAAGGTGTTATTCTCATAAAAACATCTTTCAAAGCAAATAATTTTTTTCTATTTTCCACAAAAGTTAAAATGACATGCTGAAACAAAGTTAATTCCTTAGATTATACAATACAATGTTAGAAGACTTACAGAGTAAGACCAGAGAATAAGCCACATCATTAAACTAAACAATTACACAGAACTAGAAAACTCACTCAGTAGTAAAATATAAAAATCTACAATTATAAATATAAATTTGGTCCATGGAGACACAAGAGCAGTATTTACAGTAAGTTATCAGATTACGCCTACTTTGGATGAATACTGCAGTTATAAGTATTGAATATCATTGGGAACAAAGTGGTTTATTTAGAGTCTACTATATTAAAAGTTATATTTCTAGCAAATCTGATGATTGGTACAAATACAGCTAAAAATCTGACACTAAAAAGAAACATTTTCTATGATTGGGAATTCCTAGTATCTATAAATTGAAATTTTCTGTTAAAATCAATATGGAAAAAATTTACCACAATTCGATTCTTAGAAATACTGTAAAATTCAATCATTTTAGTTCAAACATCACAAGTGAATTACAAGAAGTCTTTCAAAAAGGCACACGTTGTTAATGGTGTAAATTTGGCAGCAGAATGAAAGTTACCGTCAGTTGATGGGGAAGTAAACAGATAACAGAACTGTATGCATTCTTTTAATTTTAGGAAGAGGTGAACAACGCTTAGATGGGGGCTGCCCCCCCAAACTTTCTGTGTTAAACTAAAGACTCCAGGCTCTCAGCAATATTTCCATCTGGCAAAGCTGCGCCATTACTGTCTAGAGAGGTGGATGGATTTTCTTCCTGCCTTGTGCTGACAAGACTGAGGACCACTTTGTAGAGAAACTGATACTGTTCCTAGAAAACATAGAACAGGAGATTATATACAGAAAGCTCAGCAGAGACTTAAAATCTGCAAAGAGCAGGAATGATTTCAGACATACTTTGGTGCTGTTCATGGAAGGGTACAGTATATACTAAGGGTTTGTTATACTAGTAGAGGTGCACAATCTACATGTTATAGTATCTGGTTGATCAAACCAAGATAGCTTTTAAAAACAACATTTCATTGACTCAGAATCAAAAGCAGGTGGAGCAAGGTTATTTAGTGTGCAAATGCGGGGCTAATTTACCGGCACTAATTGCAAAATATTGTTGTTGGCTTTGCTGTCTACTGTTGTCATGAAGATTTTTCACTAAAAAGCAGGTTAAAATAAAATCTAGCATCTTAACTCACTTTCTGGGATTCTGTGCATTGACTTACTTGTCTCTTTTCTGTCTCAGTGAAAATGTAACCTTTAACTGTTCTCGGTATCTTTCCTTATACAATTAATACAGTTATACAATATTGTACTCTAAACCCTATAAGACATAAAATTAAATGAGGTTTTAAACTTTAACAGAGATCTCCATTTCATTATTAAAATACAGTTTCATACAGAAAAATTCATTTTTAATACAATTGACACTAAAATGCACATGCATTTCTAATCTCTATATATCCAGATTATTACTAGTCACAGTTGGTTACTTTCTGAGCTACTTGGCATCTGAGCATGGATATAAAGTCATCAGGTAGATTTCAATGGTAATGTTTTTCACATCTACTAATTATTAAGGGGCAAATTTTTATGCTTTGAAGAATATTTTTTAAAGACCTATGAAATCTAATTTGTCTTCCTCAGATACTCTTGGATGTGGGTGCATCTCCTGCAATGTGGTCAATCTGCCCAGTGTCACAGTCTTAAAAAAAACTGACTGTCCTCCCAGAAGCTATCAATTGCCAATAATTTCTCAGCTAGGGCTGTGGCTTCTTGTCCCCTTCCCTGATCCAGTGACTGTAAGAGAATTTTCCTTGTTTGTAACAAGCACTAAGCTGTTATTCCTTGGCTTTCTGTAATTGGAAGGTGACCGGCTGTTTTATCGACTTGTGGGGAAACACTTTGACACTAGTCATCTACAATCCTTTCAAAAATAAATTCCTTCCTTCCTTCCTTCCTTCCTTCCTTCCTTCCTTCCTTCCTTTCTTTCTTTCCTTCTTATGTATCCCAGGCTGGCCTTGAACTTGCTATGTAGCTAAGGATGATCCTGAACTTCCGATATTCCTGCCTCTGCTTCCCAAGTGACAGAATTATAGGTGTGCTCTACTATGTCTGGTTTATGTGGAGGTGGGGACGAAAATCAGTGCCTCGTTAAACAAGCATTCTCCCAACTGAGCTATATCGCCAGCCCTCAAAAATAATTGTCTTATTCGCCTTTCTTTAATTGCTGTGTAAAAATGGCTCTGTGTATCGATGGAGCGGTCTCAACAGTAACTGTACCATCAGTAAAGCACTCTCCTTCATCACATTGCTCAAATATTCTTCACACTGTATAAGCTTGACTGACCTGATGATGTGCCTTGAGAAAAGGGGTGTGCAGGCTCCCTGGGACTGCTCTGTAATCTAATAGGCCCTTATCTGCAACAACCAAGAAGCTGATGGTGACCCTAGAACTTCTAAACCCTCCCAAGCTTCTCACCAAATTCCCTGTCATCTTTCCAGTGCCCCTTGCTACAATGGTAACAATTTCCAGGTTATTTCTAAGTTGAGACTTATCACAGATGTGCTCTGTCTCTTCTTTAACTGCATACATTTCTCTCCTTTTAAAAGCATGCAAGGATCAGCTGTCTATTAATTTCAGAAATTGAATTTGGCTTGAGAAAAAAGTGAACAGTGTCAACATTTAAATCTTTGAGGTAGAGCTTCTGGCTGCTCTGTGAGGCTTGAACTTAAACCCCAGTATAGCTACTTATTTTATGAGTAAGTCAATTTGTTAGTACTTCTACTAAGGATTTTTTTTAACATTTATTATTTTTATTTTATGTGTATGAGTGTATTGCCTGCATACAGGTAAGTGCACCCGTGTCGTGCAATGCCCATGAAGGCAGAAGAGGTCATCGGATCCAATGGAACTGAAGTTACAGACAGTTGTTAGCTGCCATGAGGGTGCTGGGATTCAAACCCAGGTCTTTTGCAAGAACAACCAGTGTTCTTAACCACTGAGCCATCTCTCCAGCTCCTACTAAGGATATTTTTAAGAGTCACAATAAATGGAAAATGGAAAAATAGTGAGTTAAAGATTTTTTTAATCCATCACTTTTCTAGTATTCAGTTTGAATACTACATGCTAATGTCACCTACCTATCAACTAATATGAGCCTCATTTCTTTTAAATTTAATTTATTATTTTATGTGTATGAATTTATTGCCTGCATGTGTGTAAGTGCACCCATGTTATGCAATGCCTGCAGAGGTCAGAAAAAGATGTTGGATCCCCTGGAACTGGAGTTAGGATGGCTGTTAGCTGCCATATGGGTGCTGGGAATTGAACCTGGGTCCTCTTCAAGAACTCTTAACCACTGAATCATCTCTCCAGCCCCATGATCCTTCTTATATGTAATAAGAAGAATTCAGCAACCTCTATGAAGTGATACTCAATAGTGAAGTGTTTGGGCCACTGCCACACCACTTACAATGTCTGTAAAGACTCCTGGCCTCATCAAATTGATCATCTTGGCTACTTGATAAACATCCATGGAATTTTCTTTTTCTAGTTGGTGCATAAGGGTTGTCAGAGCACAGAAAGTTCCTGCCGTCACTCCTCCGTGCCTTGTAGTAAAGAGAAGGGCAAGGACTCCATTTAGATGTATCAAACACTTATTTGCAACTCACAGAGCATACAGACTTGAAACAGCATCCCCCCCACCATTTTTGTACATAGAATTACAGTTTAATTAGAAACATTGTCAAGTGCTGTGTTGTTAGCAATGAGAACCTTTGTATAAGTTTTACTGTTTGTTTATGATTCATTACTTTTATATTATGAAACAGGCAAGCAAAAGAATAAAAATGAATCGACTGAGGTTATACCTTACAGGTATATTATGTAATTCTAGAAATTTTTATTGTTTATAACAGAAACTTTGAAAAATCTGTGGAATAAAAGTTTTTCTTTCAGACTAATAAAAAGCATAATCATTTTTACTCCTTTCCCAAGAATCAAATTGCTGAAATATATCTCAGGTTAGTGCCTATTAAAAATCTCAGGGCTAAAACACTGTTTCATTTTGACAAATATTTCTCCACAAGAAACACAAGAGCAGACTGTTTTGATAATACTCTTGTCTTCTACCTTCACTGGGAGTTTCAAATGAAGGGAAAATGGTTCTATGTCACCTCTGATGACAAGAAGCAGCTAATCCACCCTGGCTGAATCACCACAGTTGTCCCAAAGCATCAGACTCATCTGAAAACAACAGAAGCTTGCACAGATCCAGGCGTATAGAATGATTTAGATGGAAACTTACTCATCATGGACAATCATGGGCCCATCCCTGTTGGCAGCTTCTTCTTTGATAATACTTATAAGTTCAAAGGTTTTACTAATGGGACTATCAGGATTTGGCCATTTGGGACACTGAAAATGCCTCACCTCCAGCACATAATCATCCTTTGAGAAGAGAGAACAAATCAATGTTTCTAGAAGAGCAATATTGGCTAGTGACAGTTAATTAGAAATTATAGGTAGATAATAAAACCTACTGCATGCCATATTTGTGATCTACCCCCCACTGGGAAAGGAAGTAATATTGTGATGTGACATACACTAGGTATGGATTCACTCACAAGGATAATGAAATATTTCCTTTTTAGTTCTGTGTGTGTGTGTGTGTGTGTGTGTGTGTGTGTGTGTGTGTGTTCATACTCATCTGTGTGCAGGTGCATCAGTGTGCTGATTCATGTGAAGGTCAGAGGTTGACATCAAATATCTTTTTCAATTGTTATTCATCTTATGTTTTGAGACAAGATCTTTTATCTGGAGCTCTTCAATTTGGGCTAGACTGAAGTCTCTGGGACCCGCCTGTCTCTGCCTCACTAGTGCTGGGATTATTGGTGTGCACCGCCATGCTGGGCTTTGACATGTGTGCTGGGAATTGAACTCAAGTCCTAATGTTTCAGCACTTTACCAACTGAACAGTCTCCTCAACCCCTGTTTTCTACTTCTGAAAAGACATCTGTGAGTGTATCGTGTCAATCCTAACAAACCATGAAAGCATACACAAAGATGTGTCTGTATTATTCTGTTTGAAGTTATCAAAGGAAATCCATTAAGCTCCTGACCTCTGATTTGCTAAAATCTACTTAATAAAATGTTACCTTTGAAAGTAAGAACCATAGCTAGGTGTGGTGGCACACACCTTTAATCCCAGCACTTGGAAGGCAGAGGTAGGCAGATCTTTGTGAGTTCAAGGCCAGCCTGGTCTACAGGTTGAGTTCCAGGCCAGCTGGGGCTACAGGGAGACCCTTTCTCAAACAGACAAAACAAAACTAAACTAAACAAAAACAAAAAAGAAAATAATCATACAATAAATCTTTTGCAAAAACATTTTATAATTTTTTATTTCATGTGTATGAGTGTGTCACCTGCATGTGTATGTAAGTGTACCACCCATGTCATGCAATGCCCACAGAGGTAGGAAAAGGACACTGGATTCTCTTGGTACTGGAGCTATGGATAGTTGTTAGCCACCACGTGGGTGCTAGGAACTGAATCTGGGTCCTCTGCAAGAGCAACCACTACGTTTAACTGCTGAGCCATCTCTCCAGGCCCCATGTAATACATTTTATATAGTAATATAAACAGCCAAAACTCCCAAAATATTACTAAAGAAGAAAATCAATACAGGTTATCAGCCCATCAAATATCAATAATCATTATATCCTGGAATAAAGATGCTGCCATGTTAGCAGAGAGACTGCCAAAGAGCCAAGTGAAAACAAAGCAGAGAGGATACAAAGAAGCAAGAAATCAGAAGCCCTTTCATTTCTAAGGATCCCTAGGTCACCACATGTCTCATAGGTGAGCAGAATACGAAGTTCATTTAACTTATTTCTGTACCTGTGTTGCTTCTAGAATGAAGTCTTGAATTATAAGCTTTTCCTCATTAGACAGGCATTTGTGTTCTTCAGCCATGAGAGTGACCTTGAAGCTCTCACAGTTTATGGGCTCATCTTTATTTGGCCAGTAAACAAATTCATCTTCTGCCTGAGGGAAAAACCAAGGCAAAGTAGAGATTTTGATGAAATAGCTTCTTGATCTGATTGTGAAATAAGATCAATTAATTGGCAGAGAAATTTCAACTCAAATTTTTCTTCAAATAACAAAACTTATTATGAAAATTTTCTTAATTAGATCCAGATTAGATTTGTGTGCAAAATAATATACCGCACTTGACCCATACTATTGCCATGTCCTTTAGTACTCATGGCTTGTCAGCAGCAAAGGTAAACTTGTTTGTTCTGTAATTAAAAACTGACAAGGGAAACTAAAATAAAAGTTCCTCAATTTCTAGCCTGATTTGGAATCAGTGTAACATTATAGACATGAACTTAATGAACCAAATATTGCATTTGGCTTAATTTTTAGGTTTTACAAACACATATAAAAAGAAGAAAGGCTGTAACACTGATTTTCTGGTAAGAAGAAGTCCTTCCTTTAAAAGTTTACTTTATTCTAAATGGGCTTAAAGAAATTCCCCTAGAGCCTGCCTATGAGCTCCCCAGCTATGGGTTTGTGGCCAAGCCCTGGAGATGAATCTACTACTGTTGTTTTGATAAACAGATATACTATCAAACTGCTTTGAAATGCATATCTCTGCACTCATAGATCAGCTCTCAGCCGTCATCAGTCTAATTGGTCTTGGTGAGTGGACAGAGGTTAATGCAGACTCACACCTGGTCAAAGTGCAAAGAACAGGTGACTGTGGTGTGCTTACTCCTAGTTGGGACATCTGTATTGCACCCTTTCCACCCAAGGCTCAGGGAACATCATGGAAGAAAGGAGGAAAGAATGTAAGAGCCAGAGGTTGGGGAGGACCAGGGCAAAATAGTTATCTTCTGGACAGGGCAGGACTATAGCACTCATAAACTTGCAGCAGGTCTGGTTGTCTGCATAAGACCTGAACAAGATCAAACCAGCACATTTCAGCACAGATGGGGAGGGGCACACTGCTAGGGGAAGGAGAGTCAGTTTTCTTTAGGGCTGTGGTCCCTGTTAGGTTGACTGTGCTCCAGTGGATGGTCCCATGAGCACATGGGCAGCACTAAGTGACTCAATGTGCTATTAAAAATAAAGGATATGAAGCTAAGCAGGGGATATTAGGGATATCTGAGAGGAATGGAGGAGGGTTGGGGTGGGTGAAGATTGTTGAAGTACATTATATATGTATGAAATTCTTAAAGAATAAATAAAATATATTTCATTTAAACATTTTTGAAAGAGCTCCTTAAATGTAATCTTCAATAAAACCCCATGTATTTCATTCTAAAAATGCAAACAGAAGTATATAGACCAGTGTCACTTGTGATTACAGTCCCAATTTTAGTAGGTAGTATCACAAAATATGTACATTTAACAACCCTAATGTACTTTCCTGTATATCTCACTTACCACTTTTGGTCCAAGAAGATTGCATAACCAAGCCAAGCCCAACAGTAGATGAAGCATGACTCCAAACAATAATAGTCCATTGGCTGAGACTAAAAACACCGTGCTTGTTTGTATGATGGGCTTCTGGCTATTGCCACCTGATATTTTCCTCATAAGGGAAGAAATAAAAGTGACCTCAGGGACCTACCATATTTTGACCATCTGGAATCATAACCACCAACTGGGCATTATGATCCCATATCATTCTCCAGAAGTCCTTGATGGTATGGAGAAGGGGATGCTGGGTAATGATGAATTCATTGCTCTGATAATAACCCTAAAAAGTCAAAGACAAGAGAATCCTGATATGTGACTTTAAACAAAGAGAAAAAACAGGTTTTGTGCCAAAGTAGTCTCTTTAAGTGTAGATTGTGTATCCAAATAATAATGTGAGCATTACAGCCAATATTCGCTGGGCACTGTTTATATGCTAGGTACAGTTTTCTTTCTCTTAGGGAATCTGTGAGATAGAAACTGTGATCCTCTTTTCACAGATGATTAACTGGGGTCTAAGAAGCTAAGCGGGGACAAGTTTCTGTACTCAAGCTCTTCTATTACCTCTAAGAGCAGACATGTCAAAATGGCCTGTGGAAAGTGTCTCTTGTACTAGAAGAGTGAAATCTCAGCATTTTATAATTCTCACTGTCCACAAGCCCCAATTTTCAGAATCCAAATCTTACAACTTCTCACTGCAGGGCAGCTTCTATGTCCTGATACCCTAGCTGCCTCCACTGTGAGAGGGATCCCAAAGGCTGGTTTTTGGATTGTAGTGCTAAAGCCTGGAAGCTGGTGCCACTGGATTAAGTACAACTTCCATGCTACTGACTGAACTCATGACTCTTCTAACTTCTTCCCTGGGGTCTTTCAGATTCATTCTTATTCCCATGAGCTCATTGAAGTGTGGTATTAGATGTCACCATTGCACATTTCCCTATTTCCCATACGCATATATTTTAAACATTTCTTTACTGACTAAATAGAACAGAGGTCTCAGAATGGGGATTGGGACCCATTCACCTGAAACCAAGCTCTGTGACTGACTATCCTGAGATGGTAATGAAGGGCACAGAAAAGCCATCAAAGCATTCATCCATCCAACATACGACCTAAGTGCAGTAGGATACTACTGTGTCTTTTGAAACCCAGGAATCCAAATGAACCCACTGCACAGGGAAGGAGCTGTACTGGAAACCTGAGGTGGTAATTTCAGTGGATTCAGGCTCTTTGCTGAATCAGGTGTATCCTGAAACTGCCCAGGGGCTATGTCTTGGTGAATGAAAGTTTGTTCATCATCTATTCATTGGCTTTGAATGGTGAATGTGGGCTCCTGCTTTCCCCTGGTTGTCTTGCTTGAGGTTTCTTTAGTCACAGCCCCTATATAAAGGTCTAGATATGGTGATATTCTCCTGACCACTGAGGGCTATGTGCTGAAGTCATTATAGTGGACTGATATATCATAGGTGCTGTTGCTGCTGTGGGAAGCCAACTCTGGTGTGCATTCTGGTAATACAAGCTGCAGGTAGCCTCACCAGTGATGACTCTGACTTACCATGATATAGGATGCATTGATGTAGTCGGTGCCTTCCCCACTCAGGGACGAAATGCCCACCCTTGATCTTTCCACTGAAACACAGAATATTCTAGGTAAACAACCATGTGTCCTGCACAGAACCATCCCCCCTCAACCCCCAAATACAAAGTACAGTTGCATTTCTCAAGTTGGATGATTTTGATGTTTAATCTAGTCGTTAAAGTAAGTTTTGGATTTTTAGATAAGCCTTCAAGGATTTATGAATCATTTTTGAAAATTTTTATTTATTATGTTTATTTTATGTGTATGAGTGTATTGCCTGTGTGTAGGTAAGTGCACCCGTGTTGTGCAATGTCCGAGAAGTCAGAAGAGGCCTTTGGGTCCCCTGGGACTGGAGTTATGGACAGTTGTTAGCTGCCATGTGGGTCCTGGGATTTGAACCCGGGTCTTCTGCAAGGACAGCCAATGTTCTTAACCACTGAGCCATCTCTCTAGCCCCATATGAATCGTTTTTAGTAGTCACACACGGAGCCTAATTAGAGCAATATGATAGACATAACATTATATTTAGTATATACAGCATTTGTCCCAAGGTAGGTAATTATTACCAAATGACATACAAGTCTTTTATCATGTAAATAAAAACTGAACTTGGTTTCGCAGGAGCCAGTGTAAATTACCAGGGATGATGGAGGAAGTTCTGTTCTTCTCCCTGTTGCATTGCTTCAGGGCTGTAGAATAGTCGCTCTGCTGGATATTTGACTGACCCAGGAGCTGAGCGAGGAAGGCCAGGAAACATGTAGGTTATTTTATGTATGTCATCCAAATACTCAAACCCACACTGACATATCTCAACCAGAATATGATACTTAATATAAACATATCTGACTTGTTTCCTAGGGCCTCCTTGAATTAAGCCCTGTGTTAGTGAAATCCCTGAAGTGCTATGCTGTGTATCAGGGAGTTGAAAGAAGTAAAGAACCTCATTTGACTTTCAGCATTGGAAGGATCTTCCTTACGGCTTCCTCTAAGGGGCACACCCTCCACTTCCTCTACTTAAACTCACCCTGCAGTGGGACACAAATCACACTGTGCAAGTGTGTGTACATACATACAGGTGTAGGTAGGTACAGTCTGTTGATTCCTTCTGTTGTTTGAGACCCTATAAGCATGAAAAACCTACAGTCCACTTACTATGCCCTACCTGTTTGGGTTATTATCAAGTTTTTGCCATTTTAAACTTTGTAGTAACAAACATATCTTAAAATCTTCTTCATGTGCATACATGTGAGGGTTTCTGAATAGAATTAAGAGTGAATAATGTTAACTTTTGACAGTCTGGTAGATAAAAATAGCATATCACCATTTTGACTTGCAATCTTTTCATTTAGTGAGATTGTCAAGTTTAGTATTTGAGTTCAGCTTTGGTGAAGCTGTTTCATATTTTTACTTTTTGGCATTTATGAATATCTAGAGGTTCTTTAAGGCTTGACTGCAAACATGTATCTGCTAAAGTTGCAAATGTCATTGTATACTTTAGACACAGAGATTCATATCCAGTTTATTAATTTTTTTTCTTTAAGAGTTCTGTAGTTTTGTTTTTACTTAAGTTCCTGCCTATCTGAAGTCATCACAAACACTTTGCAATATTTTTTTTCTAATAGTTACAAAACTTTCCTTTCATCTATTTGTGTTTAGTCCACCTGGAGGATATTTTAGTGCTAGAAACACAGTAAAGATCTCATTTAATTTTATTTTTAAAACATAGAAAATCTCCCATGTTCTTACGGCCCTTTCTGATTTGTAGCATCTGTGTTTCACCCTGATGGTCCCCAGTGTGGGTTCCTCTGACCGATTTGTCAGTCTTTAATGTTAGAATGCTGCATAAATATCTCCCATATGCAGTATACCGGAATTCCTTTTCATAGTCTTTCCTTTTCAATACTTGTTGAAATTTTTGGCTCTTTAATTTTGTGGGGTTGAATCAGACTCTGTTCTCACGTTTCCATGAAAACTTCTGCTGGAGTTGACTTTGCCACACATTTGAAGGGAATCAGCATCTTCACAGGGTTCGAGATTATCCATATTGTATCTCTGATTGTTTTGAAACCTAATTCTATGCTCCTTAACTCAGTTTTATAAATTTCTGTGTTTATCATTTATTTTGTTAAGCGTATTTGTTGCTGCTGTTATTTTTGAGACAGGGTCTCCCTGTAACCCTGGCTGGCCTGGAACTCGCTATGTAGACCAGGTTGACCTCCAATCTCACAGAGATCCACCAGCCTCTGCCTCCTGAGTGCTGAGATTAAAGGTGCGCTACCAGGTCAAGCTAAGTTAAGGGTACTTTTGGAGGCCTCAGAGTTCTTGTGCAGCTTTATTTTTTATTAGTGTCCATTATTTGAGCAAAATAACGTTTCCTTCTGTACCTACGGTACTTTGATCTTCAGTCTCCTATGACACATATCTGTCCCCCTCATGGCCCCCGTCCTACTCCCTAGTAGTCCCTTTCTACTACTTTCATGGCTTCTTTTTTAAGATTTCTCTTAAAGAGAGAAAAATATTTAATACTTTTATTTCTGAGCCTGGCTTGTTTTGCTTGACAGGATTTCCTGTTGTTTTTATGCTTGCACACCTTTGTTTAATACATGGTCTTATCACACCTTGTCTAATTAATAACAAGGCTGAATTTTACACTTCTTGTTGAACTCTAATGAGTCAACATTTTCAGTTATGTGTCTCTTGGTGTTCTATATACACATGACTTCTGCAAGTCCTTCTACTTTTATACACGTTTTATTTAACCAAATTTCTAATATAATGTTGAATGATAGTATAGACAGGTGATGCCTTGTGTTTGGTTTGCTTTTTTTCCCTAGAATCTACGTTGACTATGTCTAACTTTAATCTTTAGATATGATGTTTATGGTAGTTTCATGTTCAAACTTTCTACAAAGCTAAGAAAGTTTCCATTTCTGGTTTGCTACATTTTTGTTCGAAACAAAGAGACTTTACCTAAATCTATTCACTTTCTAATGTTAAATCATTATTTAATTCTTGGAACCTGGCACATTCTGCTTCAAAAATATGTTAAAAAGAAACATTGCTGGATTTCAGTGGCTGAAACTCTCAGATTTTATTGCATACTATCTTGGTATCAAAGACACTCGAGTTTGTTCAGTATAATAAGTGGGCTTGTTTTTTACCTGGAGTTTTTTCCTAATGTTTGTAATTGTAGCAGTTTTTTAGAAAATATTTCTAAATTATAATCATGTTCTTATTTTTTTCCTCTCTTGTTTTTAAAGACAGAGTCCTACACTGTAGCCAAGGCTGGTATCTAATTTGTGACAATCCCCATGCCTTAGCCCCTTGAGAGCTGAGATTACAGATGTGAGACACACACACAGCCATGTTCCTATTTGTTAACTTGGCATTTGTTTGTGAATACTGTACATTCATTCCTATGCATAGCCACCATGCAAATGTTCACTGAGGTCTTCCAGCTTTGGAATCCATTTCTTTATGTGTGTGCTCAAACCTACTCTTAGTACTTAGAGGGAATTTTCCTTCTCCCAATTCTCTCCCTTCACTTAGTTTGGAAAGATGTTTATATGTCGCTTATTAAAACATAATTAAACTGAAAATAACAACATAAAAACTATCTTACCCTCAAATTCCGTGTTTCCCAATGGCTATCTTTTACTATTCTTGTCAGAGTCCAATTTTTTTAAATGTTTTATTTTGAATTTGTGTGTGTGTGTGTGTGTGTGTATGTGTGTGTGTGTTTGTGTGGCACTCATGTTCAGTTGTCCTCAGAGGCCAGAAGAAGGTGTTAGATCCCCTGGATTGAAAGTCATAGGTGGTTGTGAGTCACCTGATGTGGGTACTGGGAACCAAACTCCAGTCCTCTAGAAGAACAAATGTTCCTAACTGCTGACACATCTCCCCAGTCAAATTGTAAAAGAGCTAAGTGGTTTTCTTTAGTTTCTCAAATTCAATCAGCTTTTTAAATTATTTTTTTTAAACCTTGCATACAAAGCAATGGGCTTCATCAGAATATTTTCATAAATTTATGTCAATGTACTGTGGTCTAATTACCCCCCCACCCTTCTGTCCTGCCTGCCTTTTGCTATGTGCCCCACCCCACTTCATTCAGTTAACTGGCTTCAATGCTCAACTTCCCTGAAACATCCCTTGCAAAGATCATCTCATTCTATGGCTGAGGCCCAGTGCCTTCTCCGCAGGGGCTTGATTTGTTATTAGCATTTGTCAGCTCTGTCCATTTCTTCCTCTTGAAACATCTTTTTAAAGATTCTTTTACCCCTCATTGTCCCAATTTTTTTTTTCTTATGTCTTCCATTTACTTTTGCCCCCTCCCCTTTTTGGTAGTATTAGGGTTTGTACTTATGACATGTTACATGCTTGGTAGGAGCTCTACCACTGAGCTATATCTTCATCCCCCTCCCAAGTCTTCTTAAAAACCTGATTTTAATATCCATTTTACCCAATCCCAAGGCATCAAATAATCATTCCCAAAGTAGTCATACCTGGTCTCTTTCTCCAGGCCTGATCCCTCTCTTATGATTCAGACCCAGTACCGAGTTGTCTACACAGGCCTGTCTACACAGGCTAACTGGGTCTCCATCTATTATGTGTTGGTTAGGGTTTGAATGTGCTTTCCAAGGCTTTGTGTGTTCAAATTTAATCCCTACTTTGAGGTATTGAGGTGGAAACTTAAGTCAACTATGAAATATATAAGTGCTTTAAGGAGATGACTAAGGTTAGATAAAATCATTAGAGTAGAGCTCCCATAAATGGATCCTAGTGATTTTATAAGAAGAGGTAGCCAGTTTTATACACACCATATACACACCCTAACTCTTGGCATGTGATACTCTGGGAAGCCTTGGACTTTTCCAGCAAGATCATCACCACATGTGGCCCCTTATATTTTTCATCTATAGAACCATAAGCCCAAATAAATTTTTTGTTGTAAGTACATCTACCTCAATCCTTTCATTTTAATAATGAAAATCTGGCTAGTATACCCCTATAGTACTTCAAAATCAGGTAGGTTTAGAAGTGATTCTACCATCTTGTCCCTCACATTCTGCAAACATGCACCTCCTCTCCTGAATGATATCAATACCTCCCAGTTACCAGAATCTGAGTAGTTATATTTGTCTCTTTGCCCTTCTCAAATGCAATATCCTGTATGTCAATCGACAAATCCTCTTATGACTCTGAAATATGGATCGTGCCTGTCTTCCCTAAGTTGCATCCTTACCTGTACTGGAACCTCTTTACTTTCACAGGGCCCAGTTTTGTGTTTGTCTATCTTCTTATCTGTATCTTTCATTAGACTGTAAGCACCTTGAGAGCAGTTCTTTTAATTTTTTAATGCATGTTTATATTTATAATTCAGGTTTGTTTGTGTATATGTTCATGGAGAAGCTGGAGGGTAACATCAAGTATCTTCCTCAGTTGTCCTCCAACTTATTTTTTTTGAAATGTGATCTCTCACTGAACCTGGAGCTCACTGATTGGGTCTGACTGACTGGCAGCAAGCCCCAGGGATCCTCCTCTCTCTGCTTCCCCAGCACTGGGATTACAGGCACACGCCACCATGACTAGCTTTTTTAGTGGGTCTCGGGGTCTAAACTCATGTTCTCATGCTTGTATAGCAAGCATATTAACAGCTGCACCATCTTGATAGCCCTCAGTGTTTATATCTGAGTACTAAACACTGAAGCCTGGTATATAATAGGTGTCTGATAAATAATTATAGAATAGGTATTTGTTTCAAGAAAATTTTTGTATGGATGAACTTGAGTAAATATTTTAAAAGTAAGACACACAACCTACACATTTACATTTTCCTATGTATATTGTGAACAGGAACAAGGGCACTGAATACTTTCTAATTGGATACTGAGGTATTCCCATTTCAATCCTAGATTATTCAGTTTAAACCATATGATTCTTTTCTGCAACTGCATAGTGGATATATATATAGTGGATAAATCACATTTAAATGAGAATTTTGTTGACAAGAGGTGCTATAACTCTAAAATTAGGTTGTTAAGATGGCCTTATATTTTTTCAAAAGTTATCCTAGTAAGTTATTTTTAATGTTTTGTATTTCTTTATTATCTATTTATAGAACCCAAATCATATACTTTTTCCAAAAAGGATTCCTTCATGACTCACACAGGCCTGCTGAACAAGACATGGAATGGCATCTTTTTGAAAACAAATTCTAAGTTCAGCATTCATCCCAGTCTTTCGCTTACACTTCATAGTGTTGGGAAGGTAAGAGGGAGAAGATTTATGGTGGGTTGGCACATTCTGTGTTGTAGGCTTGAACATGAGCAAGGAGGAAAAACTCTCAAGGTTTAACTTTTTGGAACTTTTTTCCAGGATCTTTTAAGTTCTATTTTTGAATTCTGTCTGTTGTTTCCTGAGCCATTAGGCTTGTTTCTCCTGAAACCTTGAGAAAGTAGAGGACAGTATAGAATTTCAGGAAACCAATAGTGGTCCATTTTTAAAAGTGCCTTTAGCTAAATTCAGCTATAGATAAACAGGAATGCCAACCCCCTTTTTAATCTAGATATCCCCTCCCAAACTAAACATATAGAATAAAAACTGTCAACACCCAAGCTTGCCTAACAACCTGTAGACTAGCAAAGCCATGTGCCTGAAAAGCTTTAAAATGAACAGGATGTAAAAGGTAGAGATAAAACTATGCACAGTCTTTGCTGAGAAACAGACAAATGTTAAGTGGCAAACAGTGTGTTAGAGTTAATCATCCAAGATTACTCAGTCGTGAGAAAAGGGGGCGGGAAGGAGAGACCTGGGTTCGGGACTATAAAACTGTTATTGTACTCCAGTAGAGTGTGGTCCCTCCATTTTTTATCTCCGTGCTGTCCAACTTTGCAAAGCTGTAAAATAAACTGGCTCACTTTTGACACTCTGAGTTTCCAATGCTCTCATTAAGGAATGGGGTTCTTTATTCCTCATGGTGTGCAGTGAAATCACAGTCTTCGCTCCGTGGAAGTTTATGAGTCTGTATGTTCTCTGGTAAGACATGCAGGTCTGCTAAAATCTGTTTTCTGAAATCTTCGTAAAGTGATTTATGAAAGTTGGAGAGTTGGTGTTTGGGGAGGTGAAGTATAGGAGCAAACAAATCATGCGCCCCTCTCTGGTTTTCTGCCTCGCCTAGAGCCAGGTTAGTAGGAAGAACTGAAGTTGAGGAAGCAATTGTAGAATGGGTGGCCTTCTCTAGTCTGAGGGTTTCAAGTGAGACACAGACTTTTTCAAAGAGAAGTAGGAACAGTCTGAGCTACAGCACTTGTGTTTAAGTGGTCTTTTTTTTTTTTTTTTTCAAAACAAAAAGAGCACTTATCCAGTTTGTATTATAAGTCCTGTCTGTTCATTCTGTTTTGCTGTGTGCCCTTCTTTCCTGGGGTACATCTGTACTAGAAAAGTTAGTCTAGGGTTTCTGAGAACTTTTCCTCTTGCTACTCAGAATTATGCGTCTCTTTAAAATCTACTGTGTGACACCATAACCTATTGCAAAGAACAAGGATGGTTCAAATACAAAGCCATATTCCAGCAACACTTTGAACTCTTCCATGTGGCCTTGTCGGGTCAAATAAGGAACTACAGTGACATTCAGTCGTGGGGTGCAAAGAGGCATTTAAGCAAACTCACCTGGAATTGTTTCTCTAGCTTCGTTTTGCCTGTTGGTCCAGGTATGAGGAGCGTATTAACATAGGAGTGAATGTGGCTGTCTGGCACCTCGGTCTCCTTACCGAGTATGGCTTCAACCAGTGTATCATGAATAAAGACATACTGCTCCTGAGAACACATGACAACAGGAACACTGCTTCAAATTTCTTCCTGCATATCTAGGTACAAAGTAGATCTTCCCACTAGCAGAAACTAGGATTTAATAAAATGATTGTGGGTGACCTGCCAAGGATTGCTAACCAGGCAGACATAGGAGAGGAGGTGCTCCAGACCTCTTCTCATGCCACCTGCATTTGTCCTGTGTCGGGAGGAGAAAGCAAGACTTGGAAAGGTAAAGCAAAGTTCTCTGATTTCCTTCATTCTTGACCTTCACATTTTTCCCATGAGGAATACTGCCCTGACTCTGACTCCTAGCCATTCTGTCTCTCCTGGTAGCCTATCATGTAGAATTGGGTTCAAGTTTGTCTAGCTTTTATTTAATAAATTCTCTTTTATTTCACTAGCAGGACTTGTCTCTGACCTTTTATGACCAGAAATCCATTTCTACAATGGAAGTTTATTTTATTTCGATTTTTCATTCTGGCTTAGGCACTCATAGTTTTCAATATACATTTATTTTATTTGGAAACAGAAAATGCCAAACTCTGTCCTGTATTATATTTAATCATACCTTTTAAATAGAAAAAAAAAAGAATCCATTAATCTTGTGTCTATCAGCAACTTTAGGTTTTTGCTAGCATGGGTATATATTGATTGTGCATTTTGTCACAAGACAGGCACAATTCAGTTGACACATCATGACATATCTGCTGTTACATGGTGTTATGGATCGAATTGAGTGTCCCCCCCCACGATATATATGTTGAAGCTCAATCTGCTCCCAGTACCTCTGACTATAACCTTAGTTATAAATAATGTCATAGGTCATAGTAGATGTAATTATTTGATATGAGGTCAGCTGGCATAGAGTGGTAACTGGCATCCTTACTAGAAGAAGGAGATTTAGACACAGAGGAAAGATGGCCATGTGAAGGCAAAGGCTGAGGCAGAGATTAGAGTGGCACTCAAGGAACACACACAGCCACCAGAAGCTGGAAAAGGCAAGAAAGCACTCACTCCTACAGGTTTCTGAAGAACCACAGGCCTGTTAACACCTGTTGATGGACTCCTATACTTCAGACCATGATCAAAAACAAGCTACTATAGTTTGTAGTCATCCAGTATGCAGTATTTTCTAATGACCATCCTAAGAGACTAACATACCTACATTTTAGTGACAGTTCCATACTTTACATAAATACATATATATTAAAAATAATACCTCAGTTTGCACCAAATAATTTCTTTGCGAACGAATATGTTTTAAGAAGCCAAATATGTTGACAGTTCCTTCATGTTGAATTTGCTGCAACATGCTGTCGAGCACAATATATGTGCCTGTTCTTCCCACGCCAGCACTGAACAGAGAGAGGAATACTTCAGTGTCAAGTAGAAAATGAATTTGAAGATGCCACTGTTGTATGTCATGTTAATTAAAATAATTTCCTTACCCAGGACAATGAGCCTCACAAATTTAGCAATCTAAAACTATAAGCAGTTTGGTTGTTCAGTGTAATGTTTTAAAACAAATTCAAAAGTTTTCTTTTGGATTTGTTTCTTATAATGATTCAAACTGCAGGACAACTTGACTGTTTTTGTGGGATTCTATTTTAGTTGTTTCAACAGTTACATTTATTGTTGGTTATGTGTTTTTCAATGAAAATATGCATCAGAGCACAGCAAGTAGATATTTCACTGGAGGAAAATGAAAGTGTCAGCTTCATCAAAGCAGACACATTTGTAAAGGTTTTGACATTAATGAGAAATAAGAATTTGCGAGGGCTTTCAACTGAGAATATCATTTCAGTGGTATTGTGAGGAATAAAGCATAACTTCTGTCATCTCTAAAGGACATTATCTCCCAACTTCTTCATAGCCTCATCCAAGGCACAGAATTCAGACGGGGCTCTTTTCAAATGCTGCTACAAGTAGGAAGTTCTACACAGAAAATTAGCATCTGTTCTGCACAATAGTCGGGCCTTCTCCATTTGCTAAGAAACAATCCCTGACCTTCAGAGCTATTTTTCTTTCATCTTTTGGTGTCCTCAAGCTTAGCAGCAGCAGGCAGGTTTTTTTTTTTTTTTTTTTAAAGGCTCTAGATCAGTCTTTCCAACTTTTTCTGAGGATAAGTTCAAGCAGGTGATTAGAATGTGTCAGACAAACTGTCTGTCAAAAGCAAACACTTGCTTCTGTGAAAACACTAATACTGTCTCAACAAAAATGTTGTGTAGAAAATGAAGGTGATTTTTGTGGACATAAAGCTCAGGATACCACACCTGCCAGTACTGTTACTATTTTAACTGGAAAATATTAGATTAAAATATTACCTATAATTTTTATTTTATTTTAATAACATTATTTCTGTTTATCAACTCACTCTTAGAGAAATTCAAGTGCTTGGCCAACAATGAATGGTTAATAGAAACAACGTGACTTTCAAGAACTCAGAAAATTACGAAAGGGATTTTGGTCCCAAAGTATTTTAAAACAACTTCAGGTTATTTTGCTAAATTCCTCACACAGAGACATTTAGAAGCACATCTCTGAGTGTCTTGGTTTCTCTAATATAAATCTGGCATGATAACTCTACAGCAGATTAAATCAGGAACAGGGAGAGTATCTCATGCATTGTTATCCCATGGTATTATGTGTTGCAATAAATGTTTAAGAACAAAAATGTAGCTCTACCTGTCTGACACAGTTAATAATCTGAAACCCGATTCAGGAATCAAATAGAATAATACTTGCTGTTCTGAAATATTCAGTCATCCAATTCTGAGGCTAGTGTACTCGTTTCTTAGCAAATCTTTATGAGGATGGGAATATAATTTCACCTCCCCTGTTTCATGAACTCATTCCCATTTTAGTAAAACTTTGTTCCTCCATTCCCCTTATGTCAGCATAAACAGTTCTATGAGTTTAGAAACACGGCTCAGAGACTTACCTGCAGTGGACGACAACGGGCCCCACCGCGTGACGCTTGGCATGGGCTGCCTTTCTCACAAAGGTGAGCACAGGCAGTGAGTATTCTGGAACACCCATGTCTGGCCACTGAGTGTAGTGGTACTGTGTGACCAGGCGCCCACTGGATCTTCCTTTTTGGGAGCCCTAGAAAAGTTCAGACATCTGATAGCAGTTTTACACACACACACACACACACACACACACACACACACACACACACAAATAGCAGTTTTACACACACACACACACACACACACACACACACACACACGTTCTTCAACATCCATGTAAGATTTACAGCTTGATTCTAGCAGCCTACCGATGTGAATAGTCATTTATGAGAGTCACTTTTATATGCCCACTTGGCTAGGCTGTGGTGGACTGTTGTCACTAGTTACACCAGATATTGTGATGGAATTTGTCGTTTCTAAAATGCAAATTTAAATTTAAATTAATGGACTGAGTGAAACAACTTATCCAAAACTCCATAATATGTGTGAGTTTTATCTAATTAGTAGAGGATGTGAAAGCAAAGACTGAAGTTTTCTGAAGAAGAGTTTCCCCTAAAGACTGCAACACAGAAACCCAGCTTGAATTTTAGTTGCCTTCTCTGAATTTCAAAGCTGCCATCCTGCTTGGAATTTAGATTTACTAATCTTCAAAATCATGTGGGTCAACCCAAAACCAAAAATTCATTCAACATATCCAGCCATCTGTCAAACTTATTCACCCACCCATTCATATATCCATCTGTTCATCCATCTCTGTTCATTCACCCATTCATCTTCATCTACCTACTTGCTCATCAAACCATATCTATTCACCCATCTATACATACATATCCATCCACTCATTCAGCTATCCAATAATCAATACTCACTTACCCATCCATCCATCCATCCATCTCTATTCATTCATCTTTCCATCCTCATTTACCTACTCACTCATCAAGCCATGTCTATTTATACATACATACATGCATGCATGCATGCATGCATATCTAGCCACTCATTCAGCTATCCAATAATGTATACCCATCTGTCCATCCGTCTGTACATTCATTCATCCATTCATGTATCCATCTATTCATCCATCCACCTTCATTTACCTACTCATCGAACCATAGCTATCCATCTATCCATCTCCCATCATCCAATTGGCACTGTTTCTCTTGAAAATCTCAAGTAATACATTACTTTTCAGTGTATCTCTTGCTTCATTTATTTTAATTTCCACTACTTTTAGTTGGATGATAGATCATATCAGGACTATACAGCAAAGTGTCCACATGGGAGATGAATTGTTTTTCACATATCATATCTATTACTACCAGTGATACTATGGAAGTCTAGCTCCAAAGGCACAGCTAATTCTTAGACATGTGGAATAAACCATTGAGATTATGATGTCACTATGGTAAGAGAGTTTTACACCTTTAATGACACAGATTTTTATTCTACCTTGGTTATATCACCCACTTACTTAAATAAGGACTGAATGCATCAAACAATAGATGATATAGCTATCATTTGTTTTACTTTGAAAATTATATGAAAAATAAGAATTGTGCATACTTATGTTGCATAGCATAAACATGTTTTAACAGTGTATAAATTGTGGGATGGCTAAATTAAGCTAATTAACATATGTATTATCTCATATACTTAGTTTTTGTGAGAACACTTAAATCTACTCTTAGATTTTTTCAGTATAAAATACATTATTTTTAAACTATATTCACCATACTGTACAGTAGACCTCTTGAACATGTTCATCTTATCTAAGTGAAATTTTGCATCCTGAGATCAACATCCTTCCAGTCTCTCTAATCTCAGCCCTGGGTAGCTTCATTCTACTCTCTGCTTCTATGAGTCTGACTTGCTTAAATTCCCTGTACAAGTATGATTATGTCACATTTGTCTTTCTGTTTCGAGCTTATGTCACCTAACAAGGTTCATCCAAATTGTTGAAAATGAGGTTCCATTCTTTATTTAGGCTGAATAGTATTTCATTATAAATACATATCCCACATTTTCTTTATCAGTTCATCCACTGATGACATATGTCTATCATTTATAACTCACCTTTTTAATCTTTGTGTTTCTTAGAGTAAAATTCCTCACAGTATAGTAGGCAAGCACTTGAACATTCTTCTGATTGACTAGAAAGTTCCCATATTCTTCACTACCATCAGTAGGCCAGTACTGGTCACATTTTCTCTGCAAAAGATTAAATAAATATGTAAGTTCCATATTTCAGACATTCATTATGCAAGTTATCCTTGAAATCAGTAAAGGTGTGACACAGGGACATGAATGGACTCTTACTTTTCTAAACATTGTCTCTTTTTTTTTATTTCTAATTGATCACAAGTTAGTTGTAGAGGAGGCCAGGAATAGAATCTTAGAACTGAAAGAGACTTCATATGATCTAGTCCCATAAAGCAGGAACACTGAGTAACTACAGAGCCAGAGCTCAAATCTAGCTCCATGAAGTGAAACCTACTTCACTTTACACTGCTTTTTGTAAAATCCCTTTACTTTTTCTCATACTATGAAGAATGTAATGAAGAAGTCAGTAACTTGATTCACAGTGAAAGTTTTTGGTTGGTAATCCTAACAATTTCCTTTTTAGTTGTCACACATACTAGAAAGAATACCAATTACCTCAGATAACTTCTGCTTTCTGATATTGACTGTTTCAGAAATTGGAAGTTGCTGGGCATGGTGGCAGATGCCTATTATCCCAGCACTTGGGAGGTGGAGGCAGGAATACCAGGAAATCAAGGTCACCCTTGTCTACATGGAGAATTTGAGGCCATCTTGGGCTATATAAGACCCTGCCTCAAAAAACAAAACTAAAACAAAGACCAACTAAAAGCACTCTTAATTGCTATCAGGCACGGCAGATGACAACATACTCTTCCTTTCTCCACGAGGTTTGTTATCATAACGATAACTTCCACGTTATGCTCCCATATCATTCTCCAGAAGTCTTCTGCTGTGGATTTTAGAGGGCCCTGGGCAGCAATGTAAGCCTTTGGTCTGTTGTAGCCCTGAGAACACAAATGGCTATTTGTTATCTTGTTATCAAGCTTGCATGCCATTTAACTATGGAATTATCAGATATTTAAGGTCAGCACTCTTTCATAGACAGGAAACTATATAAAAAATTGCAAAGCTGAGGAACACTGATAGCATTAGTAAGGACAATCAATTCCTTAATATTAATTTTTGTTAAAAAAAAAACAAGTTCTTTTTGATACAACCATAGTTTTTTGCATCCCTACTCCAGATGGATTTATTTACTTACAAGTCCAGTCTTTGATTGTGTTATTTTGAAGTGTATTTCAGCAAATGAAGATCAGTTGTCTATAGCAGTTAAGAAACTTCTATAACTGTGACCTCTTTCCTTTCCTTGGTGATACTGAGCCTGGCTACTTATTAACAGCTGTCTCTTAAGGAGCATACGGCATTGAACTGCTGCTTTACAAACACTGACCTAATTTATCATCTGCTCAAAATGAAAATATCAGCCCTGACTTGGCAACAAGGAAACTCAAGCTCAGAGAGTTAAATGACTGTCTAATATGTTTTTGCTAATCAGTGGCAGACTTAGCGTTCAAAACAATTACAGCTTCCAAACCCACATTCTTCTGACATATAAGTGGCCTACTCTGGAAGAAGGAAGTGGATGCTTATAATGACCCATTCTATAGGTAGGAACTCCCTTCACTGATCATTACTGTGTGTAGCATTAACATGAAGACAGCTAGACTGTGAGATAAGGGCCAGGTCCATAACTGAGATCTGCAGGGGCTCAGTTGACCACAGTGAGAATCTAGTAAGCTACCAAGTAATCTACAGTTCTAAAGACTGCAACAAAGCTAGTGTCATAAGTGGTGTCTAAAATCACTGGCTTAATAATCACATTTGCCTATTGGTTAGTACTACCATGAGAATTATCTAGTTTGGATCTATTGATCATCTACCACATACATAACATTGTGACAGGAACTATGGGAAAATTCACATTCATGGAGTTATACATCTATATGAACATCTACAGTGTATCTTGAATGTATACATCGAGCCTGAATTCCCTCTCTCTCTCAGAAGATAAGTAAAGAGTATTAACTGAATTTGAAGTCAAATAGACATAGGATTTCTTAAATATTTTTCACTGTTGTTTTTTAATTTTTATTATATATCAGATAACTATATTATACAATGGCATAATAAATTCAGGGCCTGACAAAATTTTGGTAAAATTTTAAATCAAACATACTTACATCAACGTAATTGGCATTGATGTAATCAGTGAGTTTTCCATCTTTTTCAGCAAGTTGTGTGAGCTTAACCCTACTATGATCATCTGAAATAAAAAGAATATATTTCATTAAATCAGAGACTACTATTCAGAATAAAGGTCATTTATATTTGCATTATAATTTATGTCCTAAGATTAAAACAAAATAATTTCAAAATAAAAGGTGTGGGACCTATTGAAATGACAAAAATAATAAAGCAAATGGAGCAAGAATATCTGACTTAAGAACTTTTCTAATGCAGGAAGACTAGGAAACCCCCCCCAGAAAGTGAATTCAGGAGTGAAGAGGGAGGTACATAGTGCCAAGGGGGATGTGACACAGAAACTCCATTGATATGGGATAATAATAAAGTTTTCATAGAGGCCAGAATCTGAGGTTGGCATCTTGGATGGATTTTTTAAATGATACAGGGGCTGTGAACAGTGAAAGACACTTATGGAGAAAGAAAAGTGAAGGGGGCTCCAGAAAGCTAAGGAAGGGTGGCTGCTGACATGCTCTGAACAGGAGGCTGACAGAGCAGGAGACAACAGTGAAGGAAGCATAGGATCTCTGGGAGTTTCTGTGGTGCACCACAACAAACAGCTTTCAAGGGAAAAGCCCCAGAGAACCCACTAGAAAGGGACGCCAGAGGACAAGGCACAAAGGGGCGAATTCAGTACTGCCAACTAAGTGGGATGGAAGCAAAGGCACATAACACGTATTTAACCACTGTAATTCAGACTTGTTGAAACTGGGGTTCACTTTAGTTCTACACAGACTGTATTTGTAGGCAATATGTAAAGAAGGGGGCAAATGTTATTGGAAGGAAGCTTGGAGTTTCACCAGGCACTATTCTTTCCAAGGATAAGGAAGTTAAACATTGACCAAACTCAATAGTGAATCACACTAATAGATCTGACATGAAAGCTTCCCTAACAATAGGAAGCTACATGGCTGCAGACAGCTACTGTGAAAGTAGATTTGCGGCACTAGCATGATGGGTCTAGATGCCAGGCTGACCTATTTCTATATTCTGTTCTAATATTAAAAAAAAAAAACCTTTCTGAGTTATTTTTCTTCCTCTCTAAAATAGAACCCATTTTACCAGGTTGTTTTAGGGACTAAATAAAATAATATACTTACAATACCAAGCCAACTAGCAAGTCGATCTCTGTCCTGTCTTAATACAGTCAAGACTGTTATTTCAGATGAGGAAACAAGTATATAGTAGAGTCTCCTGCTAAAAGGCAACTATTTAAGAGAACACAGTACTCAAAGGGAGGAGAGGGCCGTCCCATTGATTTCTTCCAGTAGACTGAAATCAGTAACACATGTGCATAGGAAGCTACCCAATGAACATATGAGAAAGGAAATTTGTTTAAATCCCTGCTAGGCAGGAGGAACCTGAAGACAGATTCATGAGATAGAGGGAAATATGAAGCAAAACTGGGGGAAACAAAGAAGTCCTGTGACAAGATGCAGGACAGAAAGTAAGATAGGGAAAGTATAAATAAAATTACATTAAGGAAGGAAGCAACAGAGGTGTTCACAGATCAGGAGGAAAGCGGCTAAGAAAACAAAGGGGAAGAAATAATAGAAAGAAGATCTTTAATTGATCCCTTGTAAACCCAGGAAGAATGGCAAGCAAGAAAGGAAGCTAAAGTTGGAGCAGGAAGAGGAACTCAAAAGAGAATATTAGTTGGTTAGTAAATTCACTAAACTTAGGTATACCTTAAGTAGGACCATGGCCTATAAATAAATGGCAGAAACCCCAAGAAGGGCTATACAGTCTGTGGGTCCTGAAGAAAAGACTGGATTAAAATGGAAGTTCATTCTGTATGAAAGAAACCCATGTCATTGACTGCAAGGTATGCTTAAGCTACAGTCATATAATGCCATATATTATCAAATAGAAGTTTCTCTCCCTGACAACAAAGGCCCTGGAACAGCCCCACTGAGGTCAATTGGCAGATGCTGTGAGGACATGGGTCAACAGGTCAGTGCTGATGATGGCACAATCCACTGAGTTAATATACTTACAGGCAACGATGTTCACATATCTGTTCTTGTGCTTGTTGTCTGGGTGATTGGAGCTGTCTGCTGTGATACCTAAGTCAACAGTACAGCTCTGCACTTCCTGGAAAAAAATGTTCATGCGTACCATTTTAGTATAAATTCTTTCAAACCAAGTGCCTTAAAATATAATAAGAGAGACAAAACAAACAAAACAGTCTAACAACAATAACAGCAACAACAACAACAAAATACTTTTACACATTACAACTATTTCTTGGCTAAAAGAAAATGCAGTGAAATAATGCCTTACCTGATAAAACTCTTTCAGTGTCTAATGAGGGAATGAATGCCAAAAAAGTAAAGAAATCAAATTCCACAGCACACGACAAATGAGAAAAGAAAGTGTTCATATTAGGTTTACAATGGAAAACTGTGATCATGCAGTAAATACATTTGTCACATACTAACAAAACAGAACGTTTCAAACAGTTGCATGCAAATCAAAATGCCTAACAATTTGGAACCTTAAAATTAAATAAATGGGAAAAAAACACTTTTAAATGGGAACACTCATGTAATTTATGATTATTTTAAATGAAAATAAGAACCACATATCCCATTACTCACTTTGTCATAGTAATTGGAATTGCTAATATGCAAATATAGTTTGGATTGACTATGATAGCACTATTTGAAACTCTGAATTAGTGATATACTTTGTTTTGATTTTTGAGTTATTTTATTGAATACATATCTTCCTGTTAGGTGGTTTATAACAGATGTAGGTATGTCATAACATTAAAATTCTCCTAAAAGAGTTTTAATCATATATACTATGTCATTTTGAAACAAAATTTATATAGCATTTTTTTTAGATATTTAATAGTAGACCTTTAAAAAAAACCAAAACTTCAATAGGCAAGGAAAAGATATTTCAGAGAATTTTATTAAAATGAATTTAGGATTTTTTTCAGAAGTGGCTCCTAACTAAAAACATCAGTTTAGAATTTGCAAATATTTAGTACTGAGGTAATAAAAGGAAAGTCTTACAACTTCTGAGAAAATATAATCTAAAAATGATGAGTTCGATTCTCTAGAAAACAGTCCAACCTCTCTTTAAATAAGCTTCTAAGGCCTCTTTTACAGCAAGATATTCTGATGGACTAAAAACAGTCTAGCATATGAACCACTTAAAAGGTGTAGTGTTATTAGTTATTAAGCTAACTATTGAGTTAATGAAAAGTTTTTAAATATCAGACTGTGAGTTAAAAGCAATGGTATTAAGAGGAAAAAATGAGTAAAAATGTTATTTTATTTATTTAATTATCATGAACTGCTTAATAATTTCAGATGACTTGATAGGTGTGAATCAATGATTGGCCTTTGGGCAAATGCTGTCACAAACTTTAACTACAAATCATCTATTTTTTCACTCTGGTTTTGCGTTTTTATCATGTGGAAGGTTAAGAGTCATTTCCGATCTGTTTTCCCTGTTGAATTATAGTGTTTGTTGTTAGCCTCATGGTTTCTATCAGTTAACACAGCAGGTAACTTTAACACTGCAGTTCATCTCAAAGTGACACTTCCAAGAATTTCTAGCTTATGGTAATAAAACATAATATGAGACTTCTTTTGATTTCTCTTTAAAAATATTTTGTTATTTATTTTATTTATCATGTGTGAATGTATTTCCTGCATATATGTAAGTGAATCATGCAATGCCTGTGGAGGTCAACAGGGGACATCAGATCCCCCTGGAACTGGCATTAAAGAAGGTTGCTAGCCACTATGTGGGTGCTGGGAACCAAACCCAGGTCCTCTGTGAGAGCAGCTAGTGCTCTTAACTGGTGAGCTGTATCTCCAGCCTTCTTTTGATTTCTTAAAGCTTTCAAATCTATAGCTTTTCCTTTTCCTACCTATATCTTCACTAAAAGGACTCCTAAGAAGGGGTTGATGAGTATAAGGAGAATAGATCAAGGGACGGCAAATCCTTTGATCATGAGCTCCAAGTCCTTTGAAGAGGGAGTTCTATGAACATCTGGGAGGTGGGGTGTGAGGAGGAGGTGAAAAGGGAATACAAACAGTATGATGCTTCCCAGTGATGGAAGGGTGGGGATAGGAGGAGAGGTCCACAATTGCTTACCTGATGTCAAGGTCAAAGGAAAGGGCATGAACTTTCAAATTACAAACCTGGTTTTGAATCCCAACTCTGTGGTTTATCAGTTGTTAATTAACTATGTGAAGTTGATTCAATCAGTTATGACTAGAAATAATAAATGACTCCTATACTTGAATGAAGGCTGACTTTGAAGGTCAGTAACATGTCAGATGCAGTCAGAAATGGCAGCTCTTTTGTGTGCGTGGTCCTTAGAGTTAACCTTGGGTTCATCACTCCTTATTTTGGAAAAATGTGCTTCAGTGATAGGTCAATAGCCATGCTAAACTTGCAGTAAAACTTTCCACCTCTTCTTGAATATTTAACATAGCATCACTAGAAACATTTTCACTGATGATAAAGTTCAAGTGTTTCATGTATTTTCTTGGAAAGGAAGTGTGATTTTACTTTGTATAGAGTCTCTAAAGGCTTTTGTGTTTACATCAGTGTAGTGCCATACCTATAATTAAGGATTTGTATTCAGTTTCACTGAGAATCATGATGTTTAGTACTTTAGTATAATTTGTGTACTTAGGAAAATGAAAAAAGAATCGGCATTATTAATTTGGGTTTTAAGATAAGAATACTAGTGATCTGTATTTAATGGGAGAGGATTGACATTTATATTTGTTTCTTTCAGCAGGACATGTTGGCTTTTAAAACTGAAAACCAGCTTTCCCAAGCTATATGGTAGCTATAACACATCTAGAAGTGTCTTACTGCTAAATCTTTGACAACCACTATTTTCAATATTATTTAGAATAGACATATTGAAATCATACCTCAAATTCTTCGGTAAACCCATTACTTGCATGTAAATCTGCAACATGCTTTGGAAAGTGCTTTATTGGAATTGCTCCAACATCATCTAAGTGAATAAAATAAAACATTAGAAAGAATAACTTGGTAGAAATGAAGGTCTCCCCTTTAAAGGTATCTTCTCAAATAACTTCAAAATTCAATTATAATCCCAATGAAACTGCAAATAGCAACTACCAACTCTTTGTATATTTGCTGTCAGTCACACACATTTTAGAATTGGCTCTGATTAGAAATCTCTTTTCCTTGTATAATCTAAAGATAAACTAGTCTTCTTTCAATGTTTACTTATAAATAATGTCCAAACCTTTTTACCACTGCATTTCTCTCCTTACATGTAATTTTGTTTATATGAGTGAAATCTATACATAAATTCTGGAGAAAAACACATGAAGACAGAATATATTTTCTTATTTATTTAATTTTTATTTATTTTTGTTTTCTGAGACATGGTCTCAGAATGTACAAGCTATCCTTAAAGTTGTTATGAAGTACTAACTTGATGTAAATTTGCCAAACTCCTCTTCAGTTTCCTAAATGTGGAATTTCAGATGTTGAATCATCATTGTATTTTCAACTTTCTGAAGTTATGTAGTTTAATAACATAGTCAATAACCAGATGTGTACTTTTGAAAATATTTCTTCCTTCTCTCTATAAGTAATCAAAAGTATTTATTCAGAAGATATTCATTGGTGATAGTGTTAAAAAACGCTTTGAGACTTTAAAAAATATTTTATTATTTTTATTTTTATGTGTATGAGTGTATTGCCTGCATGTATGTAAGTGCATACATGTTGTGGAATGCCCACAGAGGTCAGAAGAAGATGTCAGATCCCCTGAAAGTGAAGTTACAAACTACTGTTAGCCACCATGTGAATGCTGGAAATCAAACCCAGGTCCTCTGCAAGAGCAGCCAGTGCTCTTAATCACTGAGCCATCTCTCCAGCTCCCCCCACCTCTTTTAGACTTTAAATCTATAAAGCTTCAAAGATTTTAATTTGAAAATATACCATGTAAACAAAGTCATGGATCTGTTAATTTATTGTGAAGGGGCCAAATTATTTTAAGTGGCCCTGTTTTTTTTTTTTTTTTCTTTATTCTTTTCCTGGAAAGATTTTTCTGAGATTAAACATATTACTTGTTCACAGTATACAATTTTGCAAGTGATTTCTCTGACAAGGAAACATCAAACACATTTCACTAGAAATAGTTATTTACATCAACAGATGTTCAGCGTTTAGGCCTTCTAAAATTTTTAAGCTTCAGTTACTAAGAATTTGTTGATTAAAAAAAAATTAGAATCCATCTGTTCTCTCTTAGATGAGGGGACCTGAATACTAACATTGAGTCAGCCAGTCAAGCCGAAGACGTGCCTAGGTGTAATTTCACCTTCACACCTATGGAAAGATCTTGCCTGCAAGTAGCATTCATAATTAGATAAGAAAACAGAAATGATTTGTCACACCCAGATCATTAGTTCCAGTGAATGTCCTTCAGACCCACAGATCCCATCCCACCTAGTCAGCACGGTACAAGCAGACAACATTTTTTTAAAAAAAAATCCACTATCAGGTATTTTTAAGTTCTTTTGTTTTGTTAACTGGTCTGCAAGTAAAACTAGGTTATCTTTTCATCTTTAAAAAAAAATTTACATGAAAGACATATCCTGGTGATCATGAGTGAATCTTTGAGAGGGGCAGCTCTTGGTCATTGCTCTTTTGACATTTCCAAGTTGGGAATTTGGAATTCTTGAACAAGAGCCTGATATTGAATTACTGTATTTTATTGACAATAATAAAAAACATGTTAGACTTTGGATAACATTGGAGCTATCCTGCATGCCCACGATGATGGGGGTGTGTAGAAGAGACAATTGGAAGGGAAGGGAATTACAGTTCTACATTTGAAAGCTCTGTCTCAAAACTGTAAAAATATTGAGAAAACAGTTCTACAGTAAACTAAACACACAGTATCTCAATATAAACTAAAAGAACAGAAATAAGATAGCAGTACTAAAGGCTTGGAATTGATAAAAGAGGAAAACCGGCAAAATACTTTTAGTTTCTGTATTTAAAAAGGATAAAAATATAAACAATATATATTCTATATAATGTAAAGATAACTGTAAATAAAAATATAGAGAAAAAAAACCCTCTTCTTATTTTTTGACCACGAGGTTTCAGAAGATAGCATGCATAATCTGGGTCTCTGGCAACAATCTGTGGAGTCTCAGAGAGTCTAAAAAGCAAGATGCATCCAATGACCACATAGATGACCAGCTCCTTTTCCTGTCACTGACTTGTCTTCCATCTCCCCACACTCCTTTCATAACCCACACATTTCTAGACAGTTCCTATTTCATATCCCTTTGAATTCTAAGAAATAATAACACAGAATGTGATTAAATAAATGGCTGTTATTTTCCTGCATTTCAAACTCGTGTCGATGAATGCTTCCATCAAAATGACCTATTTTTTAAAATATTGTGTCCACATAAATGCGGTAAATATAGTCAATATTTTTTTAAATATTAAATATTCTGGGACTGAAGAGATGGCTCAGCAGTTAAGAGCACTGGTTTTTCTTGAAGAGGACCCACGTTTGCTTCCCAGCACCCATATGGCAGCTAACAACCATCTGTAACTCTACTTCCAGGCGATCCAACCCCTCTCTGTCCTCCACGGGCACTGCATGCATGGGTGTGCTTACATGAGGGCAACACACATAAACATAAAATAAAAATAAATAGGACTGGAGACATGGCTCAGTGGTTAAGAGCCTTGCCTCCTCTTGCAGAGGACCTGAGTTTGGTTCTCAGAACCCACACGGTGGCTAACAACCCTCTGTAACTCCAGTTCTAGGGGATCTGACACCTTCTTCCGGCCTCTGTAGGCTTTGCATGACATGGGTGCACTTACATACATGCAGGCAAAACACTCATACACATAAAATAAAAATAAATGGATTTTAAAGAAAGAATTATAAATAAATTAGTTTAAAAAATCTAACCATACAATATCCGGAGACTCAAGTATTTCAAATAATTCTGCATCCTTTGTACTCTTACCACACCTCCCCAGCAACTACCACCATTGTTTTACAGGATTTTTTTGTCCCCAGAGTTAATTAAGAAACCTTATCTCATATGAACACAGTCAGAAAGGTACAAAGTTTTAGTCTTGTTTTTTTCATTTTCTCCTATCCACATGCATTACATTGAGTTCATCTGAGCATTGTTGCTTAGGTTTCCACTACAGTGATGCGAATCAGTGAAAGCATTACTGTTAACTAACATTTCAATGCTGCGTATGTTTTTTTCTACATATTGTATCAGAACAGTTATACATTATCTTGCCATATCATCTCTATAGTTAACAATATTTGAAATTTATTAGAAAAATGGGTGTAAAATTGAGTGCCTGATACATGATTTAACACATATTTGAGTAACGCAAATATCAACTCATGTACATTATAGACATTTGCAAGGAACTACAATAAAGGCAAACCTTCCAACCCCTTGCTTCTCACTCAGTATCTGCCCACCACTCATGATCACACTCTAAGTCATTACCTGAAATTGGAAAGATGGGTGCTGGTGGTGTAGATATTACTCTGGGGGATGTATTATCCTCTAAATAGAAGTGGGCAGTCTGGAAGCACTTTCTGGAAAGGAAAGACATGTTTATACTGTTCACTATATATATAAAAGGATGACATCTGAGTTTCTTGAAAATCATGATGGAAATATCCAGATTACAACAGAAATGGATATGTGCCCAGAAAAGTTGTTGTTGATCTACAAAATGGAAGATACTAAAGAATTTTATGTTATCTGAGTTTATCCCATTTTTACCTATATCAGATGCAAAACAGTGAGATCAGATACCAGGCCTGCAGAAAACAGAGGGTACATCTGAAGGTGCAGTTGGTACTGAGTAGTACTTCACCAATACAGAAATGTCAGTGTCTCACATGCTCTTCTACATTGCTGTGTATTAAAGTGTCGTGCCATCTTGGGCAGGACAATAGTTGAAAAGAAAGAATACCTAAAGGTATGGCCACTGAACATTTTTAAGTGATAAAATCCTCTGGAGCATATTCAGCTGCTAGCAAAAGTCACCAAATTATGTCTATATAGAAATGAAATTCCTAAATGGCATCATTTTGATGAGAAAAGATGGCAGGTCTCTACTGTGTGAGGATGCAACAGCGAAGAATTTAAGTACAGCTAAGGAATGATACAGCTCAAACCAGGGGTGATTTTGTTTCTGACAGATGCTAGTCTTGTTGATGATCATTTTGAGGATGAATATATTTGGAATCAGTGACAACTATGACCTACAGTGTCACCTGCATCTATTTTCATTCAGACAATAAGAGTAACACCTGGTCAGAGCAAAGAACCGACCGCTGCCAGAGAATAATACAAAGCATCCCTAATTTAAGAATTTAAGTAATTAAGCCAGCTAATGACTGTTTGATGGGAGTTCTTTTATTTAGATTATTACTTATGCATTGTTGGAGTTAATCAGAAATATCTTTTTGAAGGAACATGATAACCTAATTTTCCCTTTTAAAGCGTCAAGCTACAAGTTGTTTATCGTACTAAGCTTTAACATGACATCTGTGCTTGTAAGTGACCTAAGTCTTGGTAAATGAGTCCCTTGGATTCAATTCTTGAATGTCCTCCCACTGTAATTAGGATTCATTTTAGCAAGAGCTGTAGGGTCCTAGCTTCCACCAACATTTGTCGCTTTGCTTTCTGTGAAGCCTCACCTAGAAGGCTCCAGGAACTCATCTATCCTCTATTTCTCTGTCAAGATGTCCCACCTATGTCAGCCCAGCACCTTGGTTCTTCCTGCTTCCTCTGCCCACAGATCTCCTTCCTATCATCTTTGCACTGTCCCAACCATGACTTCTTCTGAGGGCCCCTGACTATCTCTGTCACTATCCTTCTCCTGTTGTTTGCTCTGTGGCACCTGTCACTATGAAAAATATAGATCCTTCTCTACTAGGGTGGGACTGTCATGATAAACTCACTGTTGAGTTGAGTGTAACATCATGAACTGAAAATGCATCTTATACATACCTAACCCACCCCACTCCATAGCTTAGCAACACAGTCAGGCAGAGTTCTGGTTATGTCCTCTGTGATTGTGTGTCTGACTGGGAGCTATGACGCCCTGCCATTGCTCAAAAGAACACTGAACTTCCAGCCCAGGGGGAAGATCGAAATTCAAAACTCAAAGTACAGATTCTACTAGATGTGTTTTGCTTTGGCAATATGTTAAAGACAAAAAGTGTTGAACCATCCAGAGTTAAAGCCTTCCATTTCTTAGGCACTTGCTTATTCGTTTTTACATGTTTACAGTTGGTCTTCTCCATCAGAATGTAAGTCCACCCACACCAAGTATTTTATCTTAATCACTACAGTTTTAACTCTCAGTGCAGTCGTGTTATACATACCCCATGCTACTTGTTCAAGGAATGAACTATAGTGGTATAAAATAGTGTATTTTTAATATCTAGAGCAAGAAAAAAAAATCCCAAAAAGCTACAGTGCACATAGCAAAACAGTCCTTGGCTGTGAGAGTGGAAGCCCTTGAAAAATCACACTGAGAGAACACTAGAACACCTTTCAGTGAGAGCAGGTAGAACCGGAAGATGAGTGGATGGAGGATGAGTGTCAAGAGGCCCTGGAAAGCAAGGAGTCTGTGGTCAGACGAGGACTGGGAAATTGGAAACAACCAGGCATATGACAAAAAAACTATCCTACTGAAAGTCCACATGTGTGAATTTGAATCCAGATTGGTGCAGAAATCATAGGAAAAGTTTGGCTTGTCTGTGCAACTGTGGTTAGAATGTTCTGACATGGATTTGGAGACACTAGACTTGTACGTGATTTCTAGATCACAGAAGGAACATCTTTTTTCAGTAACTAAGATATAGTTACTCAAGCAAGTGATTTTTTTTTCTTTTTTAAATACACCTCAGAGTTGTGAAATGCCTTATAGGACATACTGCAATTCACAGATAATACAAGAATCACTTTAATGACATCCTTGGAATTTAGTTAAGACCCAGTTTGACATCTTCAGTAACAAGGAGCATACTTTTTATGAATCATATTTAGTTGTTAAACATTTCTCTTATTTCCACTAACTTAAAACCTCTCATAAATACCACCACATGGAACAGAAGGAGCTGGCCTTCCTGCCGCACTGCTGTGTGCTCTTTTCTGTTGGAATCTATCTTCTTGATAGATTTACCCACTTGTTCTAATTCATATTCTATAGCTTTTAAGACTATGCAATCCAGGTTTTTCAGTACCTAAACCCTACCGATCTGTGGTCCTTTCCCTAATTGACTTTTCTCCTTGACATTTATAACCAATAATTTGCATACATGGCAGATGCTTGAATTTATCTTGGTCTCTGACAACTTAGAATCACTCCTCCTTGTTTTAAACATGACTCTCTTTTGGACCCAAATGCTTTACTCATCAATAGGTTGAGCAAACACTGCCCTATCAAGACAGCTCAGAGGCATCTTCTTTGTGAAATAGCCTCTTCTCTCCTAAGCAGATTCTAACATTCCAGCTCCTGCTTCCACTGCACCTGAAACAAACTTTCACTCATGTTTATCTATTCAAAGAAAGCTTTAGAAAATGACTCATTCCAAAAGTGATCTTGATTTCCTTGACATTATATTATTTTAAGAACCTTTCTCAGTTGGTGGTTAGGATAATTATTATTGTATAATATACTTGTTTATGCCATATCCTTATTTCATTGTTTCAAAGATGAGGCTAGGTCTTTTGATTTCATAGAAACCCAAATCTTAGTAAAGTGCCAAGAATATAAAAAGTACTCAATGCGTGCTGAATTAGTTGGATTTCTAGTAGTAAATAAATCTCACCAGCTGTATGTCGCTCAGCTGTATGCTTGATTCTGTTGCCTGCTCCAGTCTCTAGGGAAAGAACTTGAGTATCAGAATGTTTGAAAGGGGATGACTGAATGGATAGATGGTCAAATAGATGAACAGAGGATGTGCCAATGACTTTGAGAGTGTGGGAAGAAGGAAGTATTGAAAAGAATATAAAAACATTGGCCTTGTAATTTTTCATGCTGCTTATGCTCATTGTAGTAACTGGATAGAAACTAGTTCTGATGGCTTCGCTACATCATGAAATCTTCATTTGTTTTAGAGGACAAGTGTCCAATAATGTGACCTGTCATTAATTTCCCCAAGATAATCTTACAAGTCATACCAAAAGTCTTGTAAAGAAAAAATTAAAATTGCATAAACTTGTGTGAAGATGAAGGTCATTTGTACAGTGTTTAGGTACATTTTACAGAGGGATCTTCTGTGGAGAGTTCTACTCAAAAAGTAGTAGAGTATCAGGAAGCCTGTATTTGTAATTGGTAGTTACCTTCAACGACACAGAAATATGAATTTAAGATCAAGAGAGATTTAATATTCTCTACTACTAATTCACCTGGTGAAAGCAACTATATCTATAGAATGATCTTTTCTACAATACTTTTGGTGATGTGTCATTTTGGCAAATGTAAATTAGTAGTTTTTTATGTTCTAACTCTTTTAAAAGCTCTAAAAAATGTATACTTTTCCTTTCTTTAAAAAGAATTATTTGAAAGCCTTCCCTATCGAAGCAGTTTTGCATCTTAGAAACTTATGGTGTGGCTCATGTAAATTATACCTTAAAACATCTGGAAAACAATTTCAAGGCATATTATTTAATGTATGACAAGCCTCAGCCTCTATAGTCCATCTGTTCCAAATAAGCAGTGGATGTCTTCACGGCTATGTGCTAAGTGTTGATAACTGTGTCTCCTGCTAATTATCACTCAGCTATGTTGAAAAAAGTGATGACTGTTTTAAACTTGTAGACATAGGTCCGATCAATCAACGGTAATCTGATTATTTAATTTACACCTTTCCTTCACAGTATTTAGATTAAAAGCTGGAAATGTGTAATTATTATTCCTTTCTCAGTATCCTCAGCAACACTCTGAAGCTTCATTCATTCCTAGACCCTCCCCCCAAAGAAAGTTTTACTCTAAACTTGAAGACAATCTTACAGGTGCCACGAAACCGCAAACAGAAGAAACTAATTCATAGGTGGGTGAGTAATAAAGCCAAGGCCATGTAGCAAATTAGAAACAAGACTGAGAAAGGGGTTGGCTTTATCATCTATAATATGCTCTTTCTGCTGACATGTATCCTCTCAATGCTTCTGCAAAGCTCAGGGAAGCATCTTGAGTTAGGTAAGTTAGACAAAAAGAGGGTGACATCACTTTGGAGCTATTTTTTTCCTCCTAAAAATTAGATAAGAAAAATGTTTAAATATTTTCTTTTTTTCTTTTTATTTTTTTAACTTTTATTTTTTGGTCTTTTTGAGACAGGGTCTCCCTGTAGCCCCAGCTGTCCTGGAACTCATTATGTAGACCAGGCTGCGTGCACCACCATGCCCCGCCTATTTTCTTTTTTAACTTAAAAAAAAATTTGTTGAGAATTCTATACATGCATATAAGGATTTTGATCAAATCCATGCCCGCTCCCTCCCCCTCCAACACCTCCCTTATCTCCCCATCACTTTTTTCTGACTTTGTCTTATTTTTCTCCCTGTCTTTCTTTTTTCTTCATTCTTTTCCTTCCTTCTTTCTTTCTTTCTCTTTCTTTCTTTCCCTCCTTCCTTCCTTCCTTCCTTCCTTCCTTCCTTCCTTCCTTCCTTCCTTCCTTCCTTCCTTTCAATGGGGCTTTTTGCTACTGTAACATTCCCCTCTCTGAAGAGGTAACCCTAAAATCTTCTAGGTATTAGATTTTCTTTTAAGAATTTCATGGCTTCAAAAATTTTACGGTTTTACCTCCCACATTTGGGTCTATGACCCCCCCTTTTGTAATTACATTATGTGTTTGTTTATTTACTTAGGGGGGCATGTGTGTGGAGTTCACTTATGGGAATTGGTTCTCTCCCTCCACTGTGTGAGTCCTGGCAATGGAACTCAGTGCCTTCACCTGTTTAAAAGGTTCCAACTTGTGGATATCCATTATCTCTTATGCTGTTTGTTGAAAGGCTCTGGTCCATTAGAAGGGCTTGAGACCCTTGTCTAAACTTTATTGGGCTCTTTATTCTACTGTATTGACCACTTGTCTACTTTTTGTGCCAATACCAGACTGTAGATTACTCTTGCTTTGTAACCAACTTTGAAGTCATGAAGGGTGAACACTGCATCTTTGCAAAATTTTCAGAAAGAATTTACAAATAAATCTTTATGACTTCAGGTAAGATGCTACCTTTCTGGAGATAATACTAAGACCATAGCAGTGACAAAAAATAGATGAAGAGACTGCATAAAAATTTTAGATTTAAAATATATCATCCTGAAAGTAAGAAGCCTATATACAGAATGGGAAAACCTTTTGCAAATCAGATATGGTAAAGAACTGTTAAGTAGTATATATAAAAACACTTGCAACTCAAAAATAAGAGACAAGGGCCGTGGAGACAGCTCAGTGGGGGAAGTGTTTGCCATACAGGTATGAAGACTGGAGTTTGAATCTACGTAAAAGCCTATGTAGAAGTGAGATAAGTATGGTGATGTGTCTGTCATCCCAGCACACCTGGAGGGAGAGGCTTGGAAACCCCTAAGCAAAACGGCCAGCCAGACAAGCAGACCTGGCAAAGCTTGGGTTCACTGAGAGATCCTGACTCAATATATAAGGGAGAGTGACAGGGGAAGCCGCCAACCTCAGATCTCCACACACATGCACACACACCTGCATATGCCCCCCCCACACATGTGCCTACACACATGCAGATACACATGCACACATAATGCATCATACACATACACACACAACAAAATTAAAGGCAAATAACCATATAAAGATAGGCTGAAAAGAATTTGACTACATACTTCTCTAAAGATATATAACTGTTGAATAAGCACAAGAAAATTAACTCGGCACCATTACTCATTAGGGAAAATCTAAAAAGCACTAGAAAGCACTGCATGATCCACTTTAAACAGGTGGCTTTTATGATCCATTAGCTTTACCTCACTAATGCTGTGTCATTTTTTAAAGGTTAAATATACAAGTTTGGAAAAACTCATAAGGACTGTGAGTACTATAACTATTATTTGTTTATTTTGGCATTAAAATTTTAAACCTTTCCACAGATTGTGATTTTCACAAACACTTAAAATGTTTCACTTCTATCTTGAATGGTGAAATCATATTGTTAACAAATCTATCTACTCTGGAATTTGAATAATTCACACAAGCCTTGGACAATACAATACTGTGATTTGGCAGAATACTCCCTATGCCAGTGTATAATGATCTAAGAAGTACTTTTTTTCTGGTAAGTTAATTTCATACAGTTGTAAGACAGGTATCTAACAACATTTAGTGAATTTTGAAAAGGGTAAGTAGAGAATGGCAGTTTAAAAATATTTTATTATTTATATTTTATGTGTATGAGTGTGTTGCCTGCGTGTATGTAAGTGCACCAGTGCCATGCAATGCCCATGGAGGTCAGAGGAGGGTGTCGGATCCCCTGCAACTGGAGTTACAGATGGTTGTTAGCCACTATCTAGGTGCTGGTAATCAGACCCGGGTCCTCTACAAGAGCAGCTGGTGCTTTTAACTGCTGAACCATCCCTCCAGCCCTGAGAGTGGCAATTTTTAACAGAACATTTAATAGATAAAATGGTTACAAAAAGTCATTAAAAGACATATTCATCTTTAAACTGTTTCTTGTATTCAAAGTTCATATTATATTGTTTGCAAGGAAAAGAGAAACATCTTATTGGTGAAAAAACAAAATGTATTTGACAATTTTATCTTTTTTTTTTCTCACAATAGATATGGGATAATTCATTACTAACAAAGAATGAAAACACCAAAGATTTTAACTTCCCATTTAATACTAGATCATATTAAATGCAATGTGTGTTAAATTTTCAGAAGAGATTCTTAAACTATTAATATAAAGCATGAAACATTCTCATTATTTCAATTTTATAAATCATCTGATAATTTATTGGATTTTACTTGAGCACTATTTCATATGAAATATAATTTGTCATATTTCCTATCTTATTTTAAATCTGTTTAGAACAAATTCCTACTACTCTAAAATTTTCCTCTTATAGGGACAATCAGATCAGACAACATTAGTAATCTGAACACACTGAATATAAAAATGTGTTGAAAAAGTTCAGGCAACAAGTCTAGTGGAAAGGGGGAGAAGACAAAACAAACGTGGGTTGAATACCATTTAAGGATTGTGTTCTATGTTAGATCACTCTGTTAAGCATGGCATCTTCTATAAAATGAGACAGGAGTCACTGGACCATAGACTGAAGACAAGCAGCTGTGCAACTTGGTATTGACGAAATGGGCTCTTAACAGAAAGGTGCAGTGTTTGTATAATCTTAACTCTAATTTGTTTTGTAAGGGAAGTCACACATGAAATCCAATTGGTCTTGAAAGTGTTCTATCAGAACCAAACATCCATCTATACGTAACAAAAGCTCAGCTCCTCACTGACTTTGGCATATCTAGTGTATTCAGCCTCCTGGGCCTCCTGCACATGTAACCCTGTCTAGAATGCCCTTGTCCTTCATCCTTACTTCCCAAATCATATGCAGGTGCAGCCTTACATTTTAGTCTGGCTTACTGAGACCTCGTGCTCTCTGATCATTTTGCATTAGATTTCAGCTCCCATGCATATACATTTTCATAATATTTTAAAAGTTTTTCAAAGAAATTTTTTCCTAGTAAGCATGAATTCCTTGAAAGCAGTGATACTCATTTAAAATTCATTCTTTTCAATATTCCCTAATAGTAGTTCATATAGTAATTAACTAGACATGTGGCAAATAGTAAATAGGCTGAAAATATACATTTTGAGATAATACATAGAGTAGTGATGTGGACTTATAGAATGATGCTGCTTAACAAAAAGAAATTAACTATAGATTTTCTGAACCCAGTTTGCCTTTAAACAAGTGTAAAGTGTTAAGCTGTGCCTTTTCTGACTTTACACACAGGGATTCTTACATAATAATGTTTCTGTTTTCCTAGAGACAGTTTTACTGACTTGTATTGTGTCCTTGCAAATTTATGAATCAGTTGTCTGTTCTGCTTAGTACAAGTTGGGAGCTCATGCTGGGGCAACTGGATCCTTCAAAGGTTTTGATTGATAATTAATGAACATGAAACCATATTTTATCTTCATAGCAAATTATAAAAATCTTTAAAAGCCATTGCATCTTAATGCAGTCATTAGCTTCATTTTATGCATATATTGATATTTTAGTTCCATGGTTTTAACTTTTGGATATAGGCTATCATTTTTCAATACTATATTATATACAGCAAATATGCATCTTTTACAAACTCATTAAAATACTTTTTCATATCAAAATTATGCTTTCCTAAATAATAACTTTGTGTTTACAGCAGTTTGTAAAAAGCTTATTATTTATGTTAAATGCTATGATACTGTTTGACTGTTAATTAGATTGATATGAAAGAACAACTGTCAAAACACCTATTAAACATTAAAGTCAAAATTCTTTCATTTCCCATCAATTCTTTATGTATGCAGAACACCAACCCTTTTATTATATTCATAATTACCTTAGTCACAGATAAATACATTAATGGCAACTTTAATGTAAGGGGGGTTCTGAATAAGATTTGAAGATCTTTCAGATAAACCATGGACAAAAATCTCGGTTTTATTAATGAAAATTTCCTACTCTACTTACCTCCAGTAGATAAGGATACCCACAAGAACCACTAGACAGATAAAAGTCAGGGCTGACACGATCACCAGGGGCACGACTGCCTTCTTCTCAGATTCCAGCCCCTCAGCTAGACCAATACGAGACTCATGGCTACTATTACTGGCCTCTGTAGTTGGAGAAAATTGAGAGAGTTGAGATTTGAGATGAAAGAAAAGTAACAGCACCTCAACTGATTAACTGCAACCTTGACTATTGCTACTTACCTTTAAAATTCTGACTCTGTGACGCAAAGAGTGACTATCAGTCAACTTAAGTAAAATGAAACTTAAAAAGCAAGGTAAGCTAGAGGTAACACTTTCAAAAAACCAACAAATATTGTCATGTGCTGGGTGTTGTAGCAAGGACAGAGACTAACACTGTCTGGAAAAAATTTGCTCAAGGGAAAATTAAAATATTAACATTAGAATATCACTCAGTTAAAAATGGTTATAAAAGTCACAATGTTACTTACTAAATCATCATCTTATCTTAATATTCTAAAATTAATTTAATGCAATTATTTTTAACCCTCCAACTACATAAATAATTAAGAATAACTGATGATAACTTTTCAATCAAGCAAACTTTTAAATATAGGTTGTTTCTAAATGTTGTTTTCAAATTCTTATCTCCTGTTTTTTTCTATCAAAAATGAAAATTCTGTTTATTTCATGTGAATTAAAGAAACACATGCAACTAAGAAATGATTTAAACACATATAAATAATAAAAATGTCTGGAGACATTCCTTGGATTAATTTTAAAAAGTTATTAAGATCTATTATATGAAATGCACAAAACAATAAAAATCATCATTAAAAAGAATTTAAGGGGTTGGAGAGATGGTTCAACAGTTAAGAACACCAGCTGTTCTTGCAGAAGACCTGGATTTGAATCCCAGCATCCACATGGCAGCTAACAACTGTCCTTAACTCCAGTTCCAGAGGATCAATGTTCTCTTCTGTCCTCCATGGGTGCTGCATGACATAGGTGCACTTACATACATGCAGGCAATACATGCATACACATAAAAAATAATAAAATTTTTTGAAGAACTTAAAATAAAAAACAGTGAGCAACTATTTCATGCTGAATCATGTAATTTATTGCACAATAACTTTGAAAAAAAAATCACTGAGTTATCCTCTTAGGTTGTTAATCAGAGTTCCAAAACTATGAATGTTGGCAAACAATATCAATCCTCCCTCTCGGCTTTGAAGGGTGTTCAGTGGAAAGTCAAGACTACTGCTCATGAGAGCTGTTCCATCAAGATACCTGGTACTGGCTGCTATCCCGTACAAGTACTCAGAGAAAGAAATTGAAGGTTCTCATCAAATCTTCAAACATCCAGCACTTCCTACATTTCACATTTTATGCCAAATGTCATACTACTAGTGACAAGAGAAAAAAATCAACTTGATTTCAAATGTTCAATATACACTATAAAAACTGGGAAAATTAAAGTTATTAAAATACACATTTATAGCAAATATATATATATATAATTGTGGAGATCTTGTGGTTTAACATAACAGGTTCTTTCTGTAACTGGAGCTGATAGTAATTAGGACCAAGAATTGAATCCATTCATACAAAAAATGTACAAAAGAAATATAGAAGACACCCACATTTCCCAGGATCTTTTTATAGATGTATTTTCTAGAAAACGGTGGAATTCAACGGTAATTCTAAAAGTCATAAAATTATATAAATGTGAAATTATTGTAAGCTAATCTACATTTGTACTCTAGTTAATCTTCCTGTGAGAAAAGCCAAAGCTTTGATTTTGTCAAGCCATCCATATGCTCTGTGGAAAATCTGGTGGTCAGTACACTGAAAATGTCCTTATGAAACTTAAAATAGCATCTTGCTTTATCCACAGCAATCTTCATATTTGTCCTATTACAATGACTATTACCTAAATGGAAAGTGAGTCTGTGGGTAAGAAATGAGATAATCTATTTCACAAAGTCCTTGGTACCTAACAGTTACAAATGGTGGTTAATATTGTTAGCTACCTCGGCAACTCCTGAACTGATTCTCCAGAGCAGGAGCATCAGCATCACTTGTAACTTGTCAGGAATGCAAGTTTTGTGCCCCCAACCAAAAATCCACATCAAATTGTCTGAATCAGATCCATGTTTTAATTTAAGAACAAAAAAAAGTCAATGTAAGTACAAAATAAGTTAAATTTATGGAATTACAAAGGTCTTTAACAACCACAGAGACTCATTATAATGTGCATATGGTGTGAATGTATACAGCTGAACAGATATCTCACACCTGTATATACATACATACATATATTCATACATACCACACACATGCACAGAGAGATACACAGACACAGACACAGACACACACACACAGACACACACACACACACACACACACACACAGACGTGCACCTGTGCATGTGTACACATTCTTCATAGATTTCCCCAAGTTCTTTGAGAGATATGCTTTTTTTCAGGTCTGTAATTGAGGAGTTAGAGTGATAGCTCTATGGTACTCAAATATTAATGAAACCTAGCTTAGGTATTTTGTACAAGATGGCATACAACATAAAAGGACATATAATCAGTTAGCTGTTTTGTATACTATTAGGAGTAACAATCATCTTGATTTTTTTTAGTTGAAACTAAAATATATGCTTTAATAGCTATGTAATATATGAGTTATCTAAATAAAAATTATGCAATTAAATAATGAAAGAAAGCTAAGGTAATCATTTTAAAGAAATAATACAACAGCATAACTTTGGTATGAAAATGTAAACATAAAATATGCTTTATTATCCTCAATCACGTAAGCACTTTCTAAGATATAGGCACTGATAATACATTTCCAGGGTTAGTTTTATATTGACTTTTTATATGATCTAGATCAAGAAACCTAAGATCTTTCAGTTTGTTTCCTCATTTATAAATACCAATATTTGCCCTATTTATATTATTTTGAGAAATATTTTGTAATATTTTCTACGTTTTAGAAGTACACCATAAATGTTAAGCTAGAGGATATGGAATATTCAGTAACTGTTAAGACAGACTCTGTATAAGTTGTAGAAATAGTTTTAAAAATAGGCAAAAATTTTCCATAATCCGGTTTGATCTTATTTACTTCATTAATTATATTATTTCATGAAGTTGGATGTTGTATTTACATTACTTTTTCATCATCAGTTTGAGAATGTATTCTTAACAATTAAATAAATCTAGCTAGCACACCAAAGAGAAACTTGTTTTTGTTAATAACTCCAGGTTTTAATTTTATATATGTATATATATATGATCTTTCTATAACTTATAAATCTAGCAAGAAAGAAAAATGGATTCATACTATTTCCCTTTAAAACAAATCTAAGAGAGTAGAAAAAGAAACTCTACTATAATTGAGAACAGATAAAAATTCATATATGTGATAATACTGATGATTACAGGGACCTGTGCACTTATGCATGCTCTCGTTTCGGAGTTTATACATTTAAGCAAGATTAAGTAGGCACCAAGTAAGAATACAGGAAAAAGAAACATCTCTATCAAAATGTATAAACTTCTACTTTCTGCTGCACTGAAGAATATACAACTAATTTGAATGATGAAAATAGCAAAGAGAAAATATATTCTAATGAGATTGGTTTATACTATGAATTATGAATATTCAGTTCTACATAACAGGTACACATTACATTAGCTTATCTTTACTTCCTAAGATTTAGATATTTTCACTGTTAATTAAAAAATACCATATCAGGAGACCCTGTCTCAAAAAGACAAAAAAAAAAAAAAATACCATATCACTTAATAACAGCAAAATATAAAATTCTTGCCATCAATTCAGAGAAGTCACCCAGTGTGTCCTATGCTTAGTGGAATTGAACTTGCAGTTTTGTTTCCACTGGCATTTAAAGCACACATCTGTATTATATATGCTGCAAGTAATCTGCTGTAAGAAACATCTGGCTAATAATCCAATTTGCATAAAATACATTAACAATGAGATGCATCTCTATAGAAAATGCTCTAGTATTTCTTTTTTACATCTTGCCACACAATAGCTACACAAACTATGCATATTCATGTCTGTTATTTAACTTAGAAAGGCATATATAGCAAGCAGAAAGTAAAATGCATTTTGTTGGTTCACACTGCCCTCTTTAGGCAACATAAGGAGGCTTTTAAAATTTAAAACCTTTTTAAAGCCTCCTGTTAGCTATCAAATCTTAGCAATAGAATTGTTTTTAAAAGCTCTCCAAGCTCATGTGGATGTGTGAGTTGTCTAATTCCATTCCACGGATGGAGAAGTGCTTATAGTATATAACTATGAGATTTTATAATCCAACAGAATTAGTTTACAGCTTATTTTAGAACACAAGTGTGAAAATTAAAATGTCTCAACATAGTACACAGTGATCTCATTTTAAAACTAGTATACTAATGATGTATTATGCATACATAATTGCTTCCCACACAATAGGAATCCTATAGAATAAGAATTAGTAACAACACACAAATATCATATTTTGAGAGAATTAAATTATGAATCAAAATATGTTGAATATTCTTTGAAATAATGAGTAAACTCATATTTTTAAAAGCTATAAATTGATTTGTTGGATGTTTTGATAAAAAAGTGACCTGCTGGTATGCCAGAATTCTTTCTTTCCATGCTTCTTCTATTTTACTTTCATAGAGAGGAGGTCATTACATCTCATTCTATCCCTTTGATCGTGACTAACCTGCCTCTGAATTGTTGGATACTTCTGAGTGTCCTCTAGTCACAGATGGTGTTGAGGACTGTGGAGATCCAGGAGCTATGCCTGAGTCACTTGCTTCCAGGAAACCACCAGCATCTCTTTCATTAACATCTGGAAAACTGAAATCTGTGGAAGTCTCATTATCATTAAGGCTATCTGAGGTGCCTTGCCCGGACCCACTCTCTTCATCACTTGTCAAAACAGCCCATGCTTTAGAGTCTGAGGTGACAGGAACGAGAGCACCACCAGTCTGAACATCACTGCTCTCTTTTCCGTTACTGTGATTCTGCGTTAGCATGTTTGTTGGTGGTGACTGATCAGGACTTTTGTCCTTAGTAGTTATACCCATGCCTTTGTTTTGTTCTTCTGAAGTCTCAGATAGTGAATGTAAAATTGTGTCGCTGTGATCCACAGGACTGTTTTCCTGGGTGTCTGAATCATTCTTTACCTTTTCCTGTGATTCTCTATAGGATGAACATGACATGCACTTACTCCTGGATAAACTATCACTATCTCTGTCATCATAATAATCATCATCATCATAATCATCACCATCTTCACCACCACCCACTAAATCAGCATCAGATCTGGCAGTATGAGTCGGCATAGAAGTAACTTCAGAAGGAAGTGGCAACGTGGTTGTGGTCACAAAACCACCTCTGTTGAGAGAAACAGTTGTCATGACCCCATTTCCTAAAGGAACAAAATGGTCAGTAGGTACAAGTGCATCAGAAACCACAGTTCGGATGCCAGCAAATACCTCATCAGCAATAGAACTTTCAGTAAGCATGGAAATTTCCTCAGAATATACATGCCTATTTACAGGTGTATTGGGGGCTTCATCGATTGAGATAACAGGCGTAGCAAATGCATGCTTTCCTTTTGGAGGAAAGGCCTGGCTAATGTCCAAAGATGCAGTTTGGAGCAACTCATCATTACTGTACAAAGAAGGTAGCACTTGCTGGGAACTCTTACTTTTAAGCAAATCTTGTTCAAAATATTTCTCACTTGCATAAGAAATTGTTAAACCTTGAAGTGAAGAGGAGTGTGTGTTAGAAGGTGATACATCAAAAACCGGTACAGATGTAGAGTGCAGCACGTTTTCACTTGGAGCAAAATCTGATGCCAAAAGATGCAATATTGTAGAACTAATTTGTTCAACCTTGGGGGTTTCAACCAATATTGGACCACTAGGCACAAGTGGAAGAGCAGTTTTAAGCAAGGTGTCAACGTCAGAAGGCTGAAAGGAAGGTTGCAGTGATACTTCAGTATTAAGAGGATATGAAGCCTCATAGAACAAGAGCTGTGTTGAAGGAGGTAACACTTCACCAGAAGCAGGATCGGAGGATGCTGGCTCTGAGTGTGTGCCAAGCACAGGTTTAAGCCAAGTGTCACCAAATGCTTGAGATACAGTGTGTGTAGGTTGAACTGGGAAGTTATTTTCTGGAACTTGACTAATCTCATGATCAAAAGCCTTAGTGATAGGATAATCAAGAGACCCCAGAAACATACCATTTATGCTAGAAATGGAAACAGAGGCTTCTTGTAAAGAAGCATTCAACTTATTTACAGTATCATATATCTTGGGCATGACTGTGCTTTCAGAACGGTAAGCCATCTCACTGAAAGAAGAAATTTTCAGTTCAGTCTCATTTCCATATATTTCACTTTTAGAAAGTGCCTTATCATCATCACCAAACACAGACGTTGTATATGTAAATTCAGCTACAGAAACAGGTGAAGAAATGTTAAGAGCTGTCAGCCCATCTGTGTCAGGTAAAAGCAATTCAATATCAGAGGAGGCTCCAGACCACTCCCCATCACCAGAAAGGGCATGAGTAGGCTGCAGTAATGATACAGTTGGAGTTATGAATGAGGACTTAAGCATTGGTATATGGCTACGACTACTAAGTAAGGACCCCTGATCAGATACATCGACAGACTCATGCATAAGTATCGCAGAACTGTAAGGAACACTGAAGACATGTTGAGAGCCCTCATTATCAGGTAAGGCATAAGAAGATTCAGGCCCTGAAGAATATGCATGCATCATAACATCGCTGCTGGGTGTTTCAACTTGAGAAACCATAAGCGTTTTATAAAGGACACCAGATTCACTAGCAAATTCCAATGTCTCTGGAGCAGCATGAGTAGTGGTCTGATGCAACACCACATCAGAATACTGAGCAAGGCTGGGTTCTAATAGCAAATCACCCCCAGCCACCGGCAGAGAAGCATGCAAGGATAGCTTATCCCTCTCAGCAGCTGAAGAAACTTGTGGAAGGATTTGAGAAACTGTATGCAGATGGCGAAACAATTCACTACTGAAGGAAGCAGAGGAAAATGGAAGCAAAGGTGCACCATCATAGGAAGACAGGATGGATTCAAATGACACATCGACACTGGGAAATACAGGCGTAGCATGCAAGGCCGAATCACTACTTGAAGCAGCAGGGGTAGAGTTGAGGGTCTGATTGTCAAGCAACAAAGGGATGACTAGAGGAAAGACTTCACTACTGTAGGGAGGTTGAAGAGGTGTCTCACCATTGTATACCGGTTGAGTTGTCTGTGAGTGGAGCACACTGATGGTGGGAGCCAAATGGTGTGGTCCAGAGGAAGGGGTGAAAGCGTGAGGTGTTACTTCAGTTGGGAGGTAGGCAAAGGTAGAATAATGTGGCATTTCCATATCTGTGACTGAGGGGCCCTGGGACACCATGGCACCTGCAGAAAAGGACTCAGTTGTCTCCCTGGATCCATCAATCTGTATGTCAGTGGAGTTAATCTGGAGAAAGCTCTCTCTACCGGATCCAACCTCGGATAGTGTTGTCACATCTGTGGAGCTTGGAAACCACACACTCCCATCGAAAGAAGGATCCTTCAGGGATTCTTCTGAACCTGACGAAGCTGAATCTTCTGAAGCATTTCTGGCAGATTCTGGCTTAAAGATGTTGTGTGTAATTGCCTCAGGGGTTTCCGAAGTTGATGTATATCCATGGGATATATTATCAGAGAAGAAAGGGAGAGTAGAGGTTGCAGGGCTGGAACCCGAAGAATCATCAGCTCCTGTATCCAGCCTGAAATTAGTCAGTAAGTTTTCTTCCTCACTGATGTCAGTAGACAGCTCTTGGTATTCTGTTATAGTAACCATGTTTAAAGATTCTGCAGTCCCAGACAAGTTCATCTGTGGAAATACAAGGAGAGTTTTAGAGCCATCGTTTAAAGAAGCTGATGTACCTTCCATAGTGAGTGTTGGCAATTCTGTCCCAGTCTGAGAAGGCAATGAAAGTCCTTTGTCTACATCTAATTCAACAACTTGTTGGGAAGTAGAATTCAGAGATGTGTTGAGAACATCACCCTTTCCAGAGAATTCACTTCCTCTTGTTGGAGATCGATTAGTCTCTGCTTCATCGTATTTAGTCTCTATGCGATTATAGTGAGTAGTGGTAGAAACCTGGGATTCCTTTTTCCTTATCTGGTTTGTGGCACTGTCTCGACTAGGATTCAGAACAGTGCTTTCCTCGTTGTCTTTTCCTTCTTCTTCTTCTTCTTCCTGCAAAAGGCAAACAAAATTGAATGGAACATAAGGAAATCAGAAAAAAATGAAATCTTGATATTTTATACAGCATTATGCTGTTAATCTTCACTTTTAGGAGCTTGATGACTTCTTATCCTTGTTAAATACCATTCCTCTAGTTCATTCCATTCCGTCTCCCTCTCTGTATTTATTCAATGTGCATCTGTCTCATAACTTTTGCTGCATACTCTCTAGGGAAAGTAATTAAACTTAATGAAAGCACCTTAATTTTAACTTCCTTTATTTTATGCTGTATAATGAGGGAACTAAATTAATACCACAACTTTAAAAAGAACACATTGTGGTCTCATTTATATATTGAGAGTGGTTTTTTATGATATTCATTTTCTTGTTCAGTTCATCAGGCCAAAAAACAAACAAACAAACAAACAAACAAACAAAAACGACAACAAATAGCAATTAGCTCTCTCATTTTTTAAAAGAAATTATTTTATGTGTATGTATGTATGTATGTATGTATGTATGTATGTATGTGTGCCTGCTTGTCTGTATGTGCCCCATGTATATGCAGGGGCATATGGTGGCTAGAAGGCAGCTTTGGATCTCCCTGGAACTGGAGTTACAGGCAATTGTGAGCTACATGGATGTGGGTGGTAAGAAATAAATCTGAGTCCTCGGCAAGAGCAAGTGCTCTTAACTACCAAGACATCTCTATAGCCCGACTATTAGCCTTCTTGTAATATGAAATGACCGTGAAAGTATTTATTTCAAAGACCAATATTGTTGAACAGTAAGAATTGTGTGCGTGTCTTTGTACTTGTATGTATATGTGTGTGTGGGTGTGAATAACCAAGCACGTACATGAAAAGCCAAAGAAGTATGCTGTGTCTTTCTCTACCTCTTTCTACCTTATCCTCGGGGAAAGGGTTTCACACTGAACCCATAGCTCATGCTAGGCTAGTAGACAAGTCCCAGTGATCTCCAGTTTTAGGATTATAGGCATGCATGGCCATGCCTGGCTATTTACATAGGTGCTAAGGATTCAAACTTATGTCCTCATGCTCCTCAGCAACCTCAGAAATTTTAATTGTATATGTTCAGAATAAGCCACTTTTAACTCATTTGAGGGGAAATTTAAGACCAAGGTGTTTGATTTTATTTATTTATTTTTTATTAATTTTTATTTTATGTGTATGAGTGTTATGCCTGTGTGTTAGTGCACTGTGTCATGCAGTGCCCATGGAGGACAAAAGAGGGCATCAGATCCCCCGGAACTGGAGTTATGGACAGTTGTTAGCCACCATGTGGGTGCTGAGATTTGAACCCAGGTCTTCCGCAAGAACAGCCAGTGCACCAGTGGTCTTAATTTGGCCTGGAACTCACTATGTAGACCAGGCTGGCCTTGAACTCATAGAGATCCACCTGCCACTGTCTCCCAAGTGCTGGGATTAAAGCTTGTGCCACCATGCTCAGGCTTTTTTGTTGTTGTTGTTTTTGTTGTTTTAATAACTCATTTTTTAAAATTTATTGCTTTTTTGTGTGTATTTCAGGCAGAACATCCAAAACAATCTTATTCATCTATATATCCACATCCCAAATGGCACCCTCCCCAACCCACCCCCCACCCCCACTGGAGCCCATATACTCTGTCATCCCTGTTACTGTCTACCGGTTGTCAGTGCCCCCACATTGTTTTTGTTTTTGTTTTTAAAACATTTTCTATTTAAAGTGTAAGTGGACATTTTCAAGGCAGTTTCTCAGAATGTGATCCTAGTGTAATTATTTGATTTTCTGTTTCTCTTAGCATCTCCATTTGAAAGAACCAAATCCTCCATACTCACATAATATAATGGTTTTGGCTTATTCTGACCAGAAGTTAAGCAGTACTCATTCATATTCATTCTCTCTCTCTCTCTCTCTCTCTCTCTCTCTCTCTC